TGGAATGCTGGCGGATTGCAGCCTCCAGTTTAAGCATTGAGTTTTTCAAAGAAAAAAACTGGCTGCCACTTTTGCAGTGTCTTTCTTGAGTGGCCAAGCTTTCTAGGTTATTTAGCAGGTGAAATAGAAAGAAACATGGAAACACTGTGGTTGGAAGCCACATGGTGTGCATGCTCCTGCTTGTTAACTAACAGTGAGTGGTGGTGATGTGTGGGCATTCAGTCATCTTCTGCATTGGCAGTGCCGATGTGTAATCAGTTGTCTCACCACAATTGGGGGTTTGAGGAAACTCAGGGAGAGATCAGCCTTAGTTCTCAGAGTTCTTGAAATCAATATCTTAGTCTTAAGAATTGTTCCTTGTGTTTCTTGGCAACAAACAGTATTTTCAGCCCAACCCCACCCACAGTTTACATTTGCCCTTTTCTCCTGCATCTCACAGCACAGCCATACAAGCAGTACCCAACAGGAAGCACATTCAGGTGCCATCTGACAACGGGAAGCAGGACTCGGGCATTTCATTCCCCATTTGCTCCTGGTGTCCCCTCCTCAGCTCTGCCTTGCTTACCTTCTTTGTGCCAGCACTTTTCTTTGAGGCTGTATTGCAAAGGACCTTGCCTAAACACAAACTGTTTTACCCTTGCACTTTGCATTCCTCCAGTGCCTGGGACTAATGAGGAGAATGCTTATTAGCTCATTTTGTGGGCCAGTGCTGGGTTCTCCTCCAGAGGTGGTCGGGGACAGGGAGCACTATCTCATTTTCATTTGAAGAAACCAAGACTTAGGTCAAGAACTTGTCTTTGTATGGCATGACACTTAGTGATGGATGTGGAGTTCTAATTTGGGGTTTCTGTTTAACTTGCTTAAAAGTTGGTGCTCAGTTTTCTATGCCACAGTGCATCTCAGAAAGAAACTTCTTAGGGAATGTGTGTGTTACTGATGACAGCTGGGCTCTTACTGTTTTAGCAGCAGTGTGAACAGATGAAGCAGACATGAAGGGGGAAATGGCAATGTGTACTATGTGACAGGCACTATGCTAAGCATGTCATCCTAACAGAGCATTTATGAAGGTTTTCTATTTTAAAAATGAGCCACCTGAGCCATGAAGAAGTTAAGTGACTTGACCACAATCACAACCTAACCCATGTGGTAGCACCAGGATTTCAGTCCAGATCTGACTCAGAACTCATGCTCTTAACCACCATGTGATTTGAAGCTAGATAACAAGGAAATATATTTAAATACATAAGGAATATATATGTGTGTGTATATATGGGTACACACACACACACACACACACACACACACACACACACATAGAAACACACAGGTAATATATGCTACTACTTAAGAGATCAGGTCAGTGCTAACTCCTGCAATATAGATGTCCCAGGTTGAATAAAATAGTTTCCTAAAATCTCTACATTTCTAACAATGACAAAGGACGGGCAGATGGCTGCAAGATGTATGAGGTTCACCTCATGTATGCAAGAGGTGCATACCTCAGGTATGAGGTTCACCTCATATATTAGATGAAGCTTATGTATACCTCAGCTATTAGGGCAAGAAGTATACATTTTAGTACTTGTACTAAAACTAACATATAAATTCTTGATATAAAAATAAAAGCATTATTGGTGATTTAGGTGTTACAAACAATTGCTTTTCCTAACAAAATGCCAGAATAGGTTGATTCTTTGACTTGAAATCATTTCATGGGAATTCTGTTAGGTAATTGGGGAATTTGTGAGCTCTCTGTCTGAAAATATTAACCAAAAATAGAAGGGAACTTTTCAAGGTGCAAAATAGTGTTTAAGAGTTTAGAGCCAGAATCATCCCTGGCTTTCTTTTCTACTAGCATGATGACCTCAGCAAATTACTTAATCTTTCTGCCTCAGTTTCCTTAGATGCAAAGTGAGGGTAATAATCATACCTTTGGCAAAGCAGTGTTGTGATGACTGAGTAAAGGTAAAGCACTTAGAGCCTGGCACAGCAAGTGCTAGGAAAGCGTTGGCCACCACGTTGTGGTCTTCCTTGTTGCAGTTATTTTAAAGGTGGTAAGAGTCCTTTAAATTGCAAATGCCCTCAGATGTCATAAACCATTGCACAGAACTCTTCAGAAGCCACCACTTAAGTAAGAATCCCATTGAAGTATCTGGCAGGCAGGTGCTTGTGCATCCAAAGAGAGAAGAGGGTGTTGAAGGACTCACACTTGTCCAATGCCTGCTGTATACCGGGTGCTTTGCCCACAGAATGTTATACACCTTAACAAGTTCTCCTGAGGGAAGGAAGCAGGATGAAGCCCCGTGTCACACACCTGGGAGTGGTGGTCTGTGCTCGCCAGTACCTGTGCAGTCTCCCAGGCACTGGGGTGCTGGTGAGTGAGGGAAGTGCTTCTAGGAACCTTGCCCTGTTCAGCGTGCAACCAGCATTTTGGTCCCCTACACTTGACTTGGCACATTCGAATCTGATCTAGTTTGCTCATGGATGGCAGCAGCCCTCGTACCCACACTCTAAGGGCCCCCGTGAGTGTACACATGCATTGATAGGAAGGAGAGGGGTGTGGGAAGGCAGCCCCAGCCTTCAGCTGCAGTATCATGTGGATGCTAGGGATGTTGAGAACTGAAATGCAACACTGCTTTTAAAAGCATCTGAGGCAAAAGGCACCCTCCAAAAAAAAAAAAAAAACCTGTGAGCTGGGACTGCCAGTATGGCTAACAAAGTGGGGAAGAAATTCTGCAAAATAAGAAAACTAGTCTCAGACTAACCAGAGATGCTGACAAACCTGAGATTCCAGGCAGATCTTAGAAATCAGCCAAGGGAAAACACAGTGCTGAGTCCCCCTTAGGGATTCCAGTGAGAATTCTTTAAATTCATGGCCCTGATGGAGCAGCAGTAGGAGAGGCAAGCCCTGGAGATGCATATGGCCTCAGTGGCTCACCCACCCTCAACCCTAGGTGAATCCTTTGCTTTTCTTTGCCATCTTCCTCTCATTGACTCTTTGGACCTGCTGCTTGTTCTGTGAACCTGAATTGTCTCCACTCCCTACTCCTGAATGGGGCCCTCAGCAGGAGAGGCGTGTGGTTATGCTGATGTGAATGCACTGGGCTGGGCTGGTGTCTGCAGAAGGACAAAGCAAGGGCTGGTTCTGACTTTGGTTTGAAGGTGATTTTCCCACAGATCCCCCTTGGCACGATGCTTTTGCCTCATTTGTCTCTGTGCCTTTGGCTCTAAATCTGTCTTAATTAGATTGTGTTTACATTTGCACCATACATGTGGTCTGGCACTTGAAGATTGGATAAAGAGTTACACAAATATTTAGACTCAGGGTGTTCCAGTGGAGGGGGAGAGGCTGGAGACCAGCCACTCCAATGCCCTCATTTACCTTTGTTCTTGTGTCCGTCTTGTGAAGCAGGGACCCTGCAGGTGGGAAAGAAAGATGGCAAGAAGACAGCCAATATCACATTTTCCCTCCCAAGACAGGGATGAAAAACCAGCAAGAGGGCTTTTGTGAAAATCTGGAAAGATAAGAAAAGCCCACTTTAGTCACTGGATCTCATTTCATCTATTGTTAACCTGGAGGAGTGGTGAGCCCGCTGTTCCTGCCAAGCTCTTTGAGTACCCAGCCAGATGAGGACCCTGAACAGAAGTGCTTCTGGGCAAGTGCCATAGGGACTGCTCTGATACCAGGGTGACCTCAGGTGAGGCTCTGGTCCTTTCTTGAATGGCCTCTCAGGCCTAAGGAGGCACAGGTGAGAAAATGTACATGAAGCTCTCTATACACGGAGAAATCCAAATAGAATGGGATGGTTTGTGTGTTCTGCTGCACCCTCCCCTTCCCCACACCCATAAATAACAGCAGCCCTTCCAGCTCTCCTTTTGATACTGTGCTCACTGATGGGGGCCTTGCGGTGGGCAGCCAGGGCCAGTATGGCCAAGCCTTGTTGGTTCCCTTCCCTCTGAAGGTGAACTGGACAGCATTTGTTCTTAGTGTGTTGCTTTTAGACAAATTCAAAAGCTGCCGGGTTTCAGGGCGTGTTTGTCACTGCCATCATAGTTCTCTTGTTCATGCAGCAGTGAGAATCTGCTCAGCACTTGTGAGCACTGAATGCTGAACTGCCTGAGAAGGCTTTCCTGCCCTGCAGTGATGCGGGCTCAGCACCTTCTTCAGGCTCTGGGAAGCTCATATCCTGCTGAGGAGTAACAACTCGTGGCCACTGCAGCACTATGGAAAACCCGCAGCTCCTACCATCATTTGACTACATGCCACTGAGGTAATTTTGCTTTTGGAAAAGTTCTGTGAATGTGTTTGTAACTTTGAATGTCTTTGTCTCTCCAATTCACCAGGATTCACTGTGTCTTCCCACTGATTAGCTGCTAACGGTCACACTACAGTCAAATAATCACCATGTTGGCTGCAGTCTAGTGCTGGTTTTGGTGATGTTTGCTGTCAGTGGGCATTAACGTGGTGTTCAAAACTCTAAATCTTAGTCTTAATTAGATTGTGTTTACATTTGCACCATACATGTGGCTCATCTGTCAAAAGCATCTTTTCAAATACATTTTGTTAGTGTTCTAGATATGAATATGCATTTGGAAAAAAGTAGGTCCTCATAAGGGAGAAACGAATAGGTTCTCTGGGATTAGCTCAGTGGAAATGGAGTTGGAAAGGGCTTTTGAAGGTTTTAAGTTGCATTCCACACGTGGTTTCATGGACCTGGTCTTTTCTGGTCTAATCCTGGATTTCCTATCCCCTTCACTCCTGGTCCCTGTTCCTCAGCGTCCTGCACTGGGTGTGCCAGCTCCCCAGCCCCGTGCACTGACGCTTGCTATGGTCACCAGTGTTCTCCCAAATGGCTGCCACAAGAACCACAGTCTTCAGCCAGCATTATCTCTATAGCAAGGCGCTGTTCCCTACTCAGGGGAGTTTGCCACCCTCTGTGGCTCCCTCCCCAGCACCCCAAAGGCTGGGTGTACCAAGCTGCAAATCAGACCAGGACACGTTACCAGTGAAAGTGTTTAATAGTTAAATTATTTAAATAGAGTTTTCAATTTCCATGGGAAATCATAATCGTATCCGTTTTTGCAAGAGTAGGAATAAAAAGAGTGCACACCCCTTAGAGGGAACGAAGAGCTAGCACTGCACCTGCACGCTGTCACCAGTCACTGCGAGGATGGGAGAGGAGCCTCCATGGGGCCGTGACCATGGGGTAACAGGATGAACTCAGCACACACACTTTACTCAGGTTGGAAGCAGAACGAAAACCCACCACCACTGGCAGGCAATGTGGAGGGGCAGGGAACTTGAGAACAACAGCTGGGACAAGGCGGGTCTCCTGCAACTCACGGCAGGCTGGCAATGTAGAAGCACGGGACAGACTCAGGCTTGGCAGTTTTGGGTCCACACACTTTGCTTCTCAGAGCTGTGTTTGAATTGTCGTGGGATTGGTATGCAGGGAAGGGAGGGTGTTGATAGAGCCCAGTGAAAGGTGGTGCAGGTGGACATCAAAGTAACATTTTGGCAGCTGGCACAGAGCCGTCACCTTACTGCCTTCACAAGCTCATGTTGGAGGTGGGGATAATTCTAACCTGAGAAGCAATGGAGAGATTTGGGCATGGGCCCTAAGGATTCTGTTTGAATTCTTTGATACAGTATCATTTTCCAAATGCTTTCCTCATAGGTTATAAAAATAGTATTTTTTTCTTGGTATATTTAACTGCCCCATCCCGATAAAAGAAAATTTCTGCTAGCTTTCCCTGTGGACCCTGAAGCTGGGCTCTACGCATTCCTCTGCCTGGTTTGCCGTGGAGGTCAAGGCCACTCCCTTTCCCCAAACCTGAGGGCTTGCTGCACATTGTATCCCTGGACTGAGTGATCATCTCCAGGAAGAGCCACCTGCACTTGGCCAAGTGAGCAGGCCAGGCAGGCTTGGCTTCCTTGTCCCAGGCTGCAGAGCACCCGGGATTCTGCGGGACCTGCCTCTGCAGGCAACAAATGTCTGAAATCTCAGGGTGTGAAGTGCCTTGCTACCTGCTGCAGGATGAGGTTGCTTCCCTTGGTTCCAGCTTGGCCTGGGGTGGGAAAGCAGCTTTTTGTTTTCTTATTTCATCTGCATTTTGCTTAGGGGAAGCAGGGTGTGTGCGTGTGTTTACACACGTGTGTCAGAGAAAGATGGGGCAATGTGTCCATGCATCCTCCTCCTCAGTCTGAGCATGTGGCACCCCGAAAGCACACACCCACTGCTCTGGTGGTACTTGGGAAAACCCAAAACTGCCAAATCTGAAATAAGGGAAACGCATCCTGCGTGAGACCAGTTCCACAGCATGAACACACGCACATATACACTAGTACATACAGCAACATACGCACACACGCCCTGCTGTGCACAGCTGTTTTCTAATTTACAAAATATAGAATTTGGCATATCTGAGATCTCCAAGGCTTTCAATAATACAAAATAAAAAATACAAAAAAGACAAGTGGGGATCCCTGCCCTCCCCCCGATTGGCATCCTCATTTACTTGTGTGTCTTACACGCATACAACTAGCATAGTCTAAAGAAGGGCACGGAGAACTAGTTTTGTTTTGTTTAATAAATATTTTTTTCTCAGAATCACCACTCCTTGCTTGGCGTCCTCTTGCCTCCCCCTCATAATTAGCTCTGTTTGTTTCCCTCCTAGGGCACTGTTTGTGTGCATGGAGGTGTGGGCAGAGGACCATGATGAAGGCCACAGTCCCTCCAAAGCCAGCACTCCTGCCCCAAAGCCCCTGCAGGTGCAGGGTAGTGGCCTCTGCCTGAAGTTTAAAGGCTCGCATGGAAAAGCAGACCCCTGGAGCCCCTGGGCTCCCCAAGGCCGGAGTTGAGCCTGTCTACCCCCAGCTGAGGTGGAGGCCCCTCCCTCATCTGGGCTGTGCCATACACACACTCCCACAGCTCCTTTCCACCTGTGCAGCAGCACCTGTTAGAAAACTCAAGCTTCAGACCCAGTCTAGCAGAGTCTTCTACAGAGGGAAACATCTTTGGTCAGCTGGGTGCTTGCAGGACGCTGGCACCCCGGGGCCTGGGATAGAGGCCGCTGCCCACCAGCAAAGGCAGAAGCTGCTCTGGAGTCCAAGTGGAAAATCTCAGCAGCGCAGCCCTGCGGGCTAGAGCATGGCTTCCCCGCCACCCCCGGCACACACACAAGCTGCTTCCACGCCTCTGGAGGCCAGACCGCCTGGCCCCACTGGCCAGCAGCTGCTAACTGAGCGGGGGCCCTCCATTGAGGAAGTAGGTCATCATCTCGCCTTTGCCCTTGACCTTGACCACACCCCGGCACTCCAGCTGGTAGGTGTTGGCAGCCAGCACCTGGTACATGTCCGTGGTGACCTGTGAGGGCAGAGGAGGAGAGAGGACAGGCCACTGATGGCCTTGGCCATGAACTGCTATGGGGTAAAGCTACCTCTGACTGCCCAGCCCTTCTGCCACAGGAGGAGAGTGGCAGCCACCCTACTGTCGTGCTCTCAGGGACTAATAGCAGGTCACCATGGAAGGGACCCTAAGAACAGAGCGATGCCAGCTCTCACCCTCAGCATCTGCTCAAGCCAGGCACTGTGATGGGCAACTTCCATGTGCTGCTTCAGTGCGGCCTGCCATCCATGTACTGACTGCCCTGAGTCCGGAGTCAGTTCAGGAGTGGAGAGTGAGTGCAGAGAAGCTTTCACAGCCATCTGACCTGGCCACAGCCTGTCTCCAAGTGTGTCCCCGGTGCAACCAAAGCATCCCTCCGTGACAGAACGATTTTTTAAAAGCCGTTCTTTCACCACAGGTAGGAAGTTTGAGAGCCACTGCTTTCATCACTTCATCTTCCTGTGACGTGACTATTAGACTCAAGTCACATGCCTGAGGTTACACTGTTAATGAATGGCAAGGCCTGGGTTCAGGTTTTGTTGCCTGGCTCTGCTTTAGCTTTTGGAAAGAACAGAGCTCACTGGTGGCTTCATTAATTCCACTATCCCATTTCTGGGTGAAAGAAAAGAGTGGCAGGGGACAGGTTGGGGGGGTGGCAGCACAGCCATGTTCCTCCTGGGATGACCCAAGGGCCATTTGTGAGCATCGTCAGAGCTCCCCACCTCCGCCATGCTGCAAGCCCACTGGTAAGTGCCAGGGAGTAGGAGAGCGGGTGTGCTGCTGAGTGGGGACCCCACTGTGTTACTAGCTGCAGTTCCTGCATGGTGAAGCCCCACACAGGCTGAGGTGCTGGATCATTGTGGTAGCTATTGAGAGAGTCCCTTGCACCTATCCCTGAATGGGTTGGAAGCCTTATAAGCACATATACCCCCTACTCCTATCTATCTCTATGCTCGTCCTGCCACCCTTCTCTCCTTTGCACAGGGATGGAGGTGCGAAAAGGCCATGAAGGCCAGGTCCTTGGGCCATGCTTGGGGTCAGGCCCTTCATTCAGAGGTCCTATGGGGGAGAGAAGTCAGGACATTTAAGCAGTATTGGTGTTGACAAAAGGCCTTAAAAGCAGCACAGTTAGCACCTAGAAAAACGGAGGCCAGGCAAGCTGACTTTCCACAGCCTCACACAGAACTAGGGTGAGCCGTGCAGGAGGAGTACTGCCCAGGGTGGTGCCTCTGCCGTCACACTGCAGCAGAGAACCAAGGAAGGCTCAAGAAAAAGCAGCAGGACTGGAAACCACAAGCCCAGCTTGCAAAGGAGGGAGCAAGGGGAAAAGACCTCTGGGTCTCTGGCCAGGGCCCTTGGCTGCTGGGGTTGGGAGAGGTACCATCCAAGGGCCAGCAGCCCCCACAGGCTCTCCTGAGCCAGGCCGGGAGTGCTGCAGGCTCAATGGGTAAGACCTGCTCCCTGCAGACATCTTTGCGTTATCTCTCTGTGCCTGGGCTGGGAAGCACTGGGGCTTACCAGTGCTCAGCTTGGCCTCTGCACTCAGCTCCACCCCCAGCAACCCCCAATCCCTTTCATGCCCAGTAGAGGGCGCTGCACGGGCCTGAAGATCTGTCCAGGGTGCTGAGGGCCTGAAACGCAATTGTGTCCAAGCTTCCAAGACAGTGTCAACTGCCCCATCACCCTTGAATCTGGCTACAGAAATTCTGACTGGGAACTGTGGGTGGGCTGCCCTGAAGACCTCTCAGCATCAGACACAGGCCCTCCCATGGGGGTGAGGGGTGGTGGATGCTCCTGCACTCACCTGGATGCGGTCAGGCACACCAGTGCTGTCCATGCGGCTAGCCACGTTCACTGTATTGCCCCAGATGTCGTACTGAGGCTTTCGTGCCCCAATCACCCCAGCCACCACGGGGCCGATGTTGAGCCCTGCAGGGGACAGGAGTTAGCCACATTCATCAGGTTAGGACTGACATACGTCTGGCTTGACCTCACCACCATCCTTCTCTCCACACGCAGCAGGTCCTTCTGACCCCTGGCCTGAGACACCCATGGACCTCCAGACTCAAGGCTGTGCTTAACCCTGCAGCTTCCACTTCCCTGCTCCTATGAAATGCCTGCAAGTGCAAGACACAAGGAGCCTGCACCTGCGTCCTTGACACTCCTCGCCAGGAGTGCCCTCTTCAAGGCCTCCAGTGACCACCTGTGTGGATTCAGTTGCCTTTCCCTAATCCTCCTCCTCTTGGAGCCATTTAGGCTCAACCTGTGAGACTGGTCGTCTCCCTCTTCCTCACACTTCTGTTTCATTTCATGGTAACTATCACAGGATTCTTTCAATGTTTAGTTTTTTAAAACTATTTCACTTTATTTTACTAACAATTTTACAGATTACATGTTCAATGTTTTCCTACATTTGCAAATTTAATGACTGGTAACATGTTTATACATTTTGCACTTAAAATGTATCAAGTATTTGGTTTTACTGTTTTCCATTTTTTACTGAAGGAATGTGGAATACTTTTAAATTAAAAAAACACTGATGTTGGCCAGGCGTGGTGGCTCATGCCTATAATCCCAGCATTTTGGGAGGCTGAGGTGGGCAGATCACAAGGTCAGGAGTCCAAGACCAACCTAGCCAACATGGTGAAACCCCGTCTCTACTAAAAATACAAAAATTAGCCAGGCATGGTGGTGGGCACCTGTAGTCCCAGCTACTCGGGAGGCTGAGGCAGGAGAATTGCTTGAACCCAGGAAGGCGGAGGTTGCAGTGAGCTGAGATTGTGCCACTGCACTCCAGCCTGGGTGATAGAGGAAGACTCCGTCTCAAATAAAAACAAACAAAACCCAGTGCTATTAGATCACTATTACTCAAAATAAGTGGGACTGCTATCTGCCTTTGCTGCAACCACCAGAAAGCCCTGTGCCCTCAGCACAGAGCAACCCCTACAAAGCCTTTTGAGCAGGCACAACCTGGGTCCCACCAGGCCATCCCTGCATCCAAGTGAGGTGGGAACTCACCAAGGGGTGTCCTGCCCATGCTCCCCTCACTTCAAAAGGCAGCAGAGGCATCACCAGGCTCTGGGTGGATTCTGTTGTGAGTAACCCGTGCCCACCCCCACCTGCTAAGGCCAGGGAAGACACTGCATCAGTCTCTGCTGCCGCCTAGCTTTCTACCTTGGGACCACAATGGAGGATGCAGGATGGGGTATGGGGGAGCCCCTGCCAGCCCTCCACCTGACTGCACCCTGGGCTCAGTGCTCCTTGGGGCCCCACTCACCAATCTTCATCTGGAAGTTGTTGAAGGAGTGCTCATTGATGTACTTCATCTGGTCCATCAGCTTCATGGCAAAGTCGGCCAGTGCCTTGATGTGGGTCTTGCCCGCCTTGTCGTAGGTTGAGTCGTTAAGGCCAGAGGCGGCCATGTAGGTGCTGCCAATGGTCTTGATCTTCTCCAGCTGCCTGAACCGATCCTCACTGATGATCTGGATGAAAGAGGACAAAGCTGGGTCATCCCCAAGCCTGGGACACAGAGGGCCACAAGGAGGGACGAAGGATGTCCAGGGAAGTGCAGCAGCATGGCCAGCACTTCATGTGACCCTCTTCACAGTGGAGACAGTGGGGCTTGTCTCCATCCTCAGCAGTGTAATGCCCACAACACTCCTCACACAGCCAGGCCTTTCCACACTCACTCACCCGCTGGACAGTGCCTGTGGGCTACCTGCCCACCCTCATGCCAAGACCCCTGAAGACAGTCACCTCTGGGTCTCTTGTCTTCCCTTCACAAGCTCACACCCCCATTCCACCCAGGAAAACCTCAATTTGTCCAGCAGGACACTTTTCCTACCCACTGGCCCCAGCCCTCCTGGAAGCCTTCCCAGACTCAGTTCAACACATTCCCATCACTCTACTGCTCCAGGAGTCTCGCAGGCTGTTCCCGACACTGCCTGGCTCAGCTCCGTCATCCTGCTCCTCCGTGCACCCCATGCTCAGGCCGTGGATGCCCACTGGGGTGGCCCCTCTCATGCCCATGACTTGGGAGCACCCGCAGTTGAGACTGTCCTACAGGGCTCTTCATCCCCAGCACCTTCACACGCCGGCCACTCAACAGAGGTATGAGAGGGAAATGAAGGAATGCCTCAATTCAGCCTCTGCTGCTCAGGGCCTCGCATCTTTGTCCTGCTTCCTCCCTTAGACTCCTCCTTCCTTTGGTTCTTTCAAACCCCTGGACACAGACATTCGGTTGTCCCAGGCCCTGGGGCTCTGTGCACCCTAGATGGCATGAGAGAAATGGCAGCTGGTGAGCCAGTCAGGCAGCCGCCAAAGGCTAAGTTTTAACAGTGTGGGCTGAAACTTCAGCTCTACCATTTACTGGCAGTGACCTTAGGCCAGACAACTGAGGTCTGTGAGCCTCAGTTTCCTCATCTGTCACATGATGATGGGAGAGGCCATGTGTGACCACTGCAGCGCCTGGGGACATGGTCAGTTCCTGCCAGCAGAGCTTCCATCATCACTGTTGATGTTGGGATGGTGGAAGGGGGCACCAGGTCTCTTCACATCCCTCCCACACCAGGGACCCAGGGGCCCCTTCTGGGAACACAGCCTGCCCCAGGCCCCGCTATACACCTCATCGAAGTCAGCGATGATCTCGTTGAGCAGCCGCAGGCACTCAACACCCTCGTTGTTGGCCTCCAGCTCGACGTAGAACTCGGAGAAGTTGGCGATGGAGGCAAACATGACCGCCACACACTCACAGGACTGATAGTAGAGCTCATCGTTGCGCCGCTCACGGGCCAGGAAGTGAGCGGCCACGTCCTTGGGCAGGATGTTGTGCAGTAGCCGCCGGTTATAGGCCTGCAGCTCCTCCATCTCCTCCTTCTCCTCTGTAGCCTGCGAGGAAAAGACTGCAGGTGACCCAGATGCCAACGTGCACCCAGGATGTTGGTGCCTCCGCCTCCTCCTCTCCATGGCCTGGAGAAAAAGCACCGGTCAAGCAAATGCCAACTTGTGCCCAGGATGTCGGCAACTACCACTGCCTGTCATCCTCTCTGCTGTTTCCACTTCCAGGTTTTCTCCAAAAAGCAGGACTTTGACAATCAGAAAAGACATTGAGCATCGAACTCTCCCTGCTAGCCTCTCTGGGGGTGCTGAGCCTATAGGGAGCCCCGAGCAGGAACAGGCCTGGAGGTGAGGCTGCAAGGATCCTGTCTACCAAAGGCCAGAACCAGGCTGAAAGGAAAAAGGATGTAAAACACAGCCCACACAGCCCTCTAGCTCCCCGGTCCTCCTCCACTGTTCATTGTCCTCTTAATATCAGGAAATGCAATCAAAAGCCAGAGTTACCTTAATTAATGGATCTGTGGGGCAAAAGAGCCCAAAGCCTTGCCCAGTCTCCCTGCCTCCCAGCAGGGCGGACTTGCCCCAGAGCCAGGCACAGCCAGGAGGCGCAGGTGCCATGAGGTACCCCCTGGGATGAGGATGGAACATCACCAGTGACTTTGGTTTTCCCCCAGTTTGGGTCCTGGGTCTGTACAGTGGAGTCTTGGTCACTCACCCTCCAGATTAAAGGACAGTGCAGATTCCTTAGGTCAAGAGGCCCTAGTGCAGTGCCTTAGGTCAAGGGGCTGAAGGGAAGAGGCATCATACACCAAGGTGTGGCAAGGAACCATCTGACAAGAGTGTTCATGAGACACTGCACTGGTCAGCTGGCTTCCCCACCCATGGTGGCAGACAACATGGCCCCCTTTAACTGGGAGTGACAGTGTTGGCAAAACCAACCAAGAGAGGATCACTAATTAATTAGCAGAGCCACTTTGAGAGGGCTGGCTGGCCTGCTTGGGCTTTTCCTAACTAAATGGAGACACCTTTTTACTCAGCTGCAAGTAGAATCTCCAACAGGACCAGGACTGCCTCTCAGGGCCCTGGCTGTCCCTGTCGGTGATGGCCGTCCATGGGGAAGGAGCTGGCATCCCTTTCCAAGGCTTCAGGACCAGCAGGAAGGAAGAGCTCCCAGGGCAGAAACTCCAGAACCCCAAGGCTCAGTGGCCAGCCCTGCTCCTAAAGTGACAGGGCTCCTGACTGTGCTACCCATGGCCTGGTGGCCTCCTGGAGTCCCTAGGAATGTGGCTGTGAGGACTGGGATCATCTCAAGGGCTTCTGGATGCTAAATAGCCCCGCTTTCCACACAGAGGTGTGGCAAGCCAGCTGGTCTGTTGCCCAGCCTTCCTGCCCAGGTGACCTCCTAGGAGGCAGGACCCTTTACCCATGCCCCTCCCCATGAACAAGTTACCTAAGTCTGGCTCTGGAAAAGCTGTGCCCCTGGGAGAAGACTGAGGTGGGGATCCCTCTGCTTCTCAGGGTCTGTCCCATGGAGGAGCCCTGTAGTCAATTATTTGTATCTGAAAATGCACCAAACTAAACAGTCCTGCTCCTACCTCTGCTGAGACACATGGCTGGGGGCGCATGGATGCCAGGAGCACTCCACCTCCTTTGATGCATCCAGCAGGTAGCAGATAGCATCAACCCAAAGTGTCAGACACAGTGGAGGTGGAGGCTGGGGGCAGGGCCGCTAGAGCAGGCTACTGCTGGGGGCAGGGCTAATCCCCAGGGCCAGGCCAGCTGCTCCAGCCACCTCTGCAAACTCTACCCCAGCACAGGTGGGCTCCTGCTAATGCAGCCAACTACTTCTGAGGCAGGAAGGTTCAGGGGGCTGCAGCCTCTTGGTGGCCCCCCTAAGGTCAATGCTGGAGGAAGGGACAAGAGCAGGCTCTCCTAAGAACAGAGACCCTGCAGTTAGGCCAGGAGGGGGCCAGGAGTGGGACTAGCCAGTCAGGGTGTGTTCCTTGTTCAGGTGCTTCAGAAACGCCGAGGAGTCTGCCTACTGCACAGGGGCTGCTGAGCCACCCTGTGGCGGGGCAGGGGCTGTTACTCACCCATCCCAAGGGCCTGCTTTCTGGTGTTTCTTTATTGGTGTTTATACAATGTTGGCTCCCTCTCCCAAAATCCCAGGGAAGGATGGGAGAATGAGGGACCTGCTGGAAAACTTCAGGGAGAGAAGGTTGCCACAGGCTGGCAGGTAGATACAGGCTCACCCACACATTCCTACACACACACACACACACACACACACACACACACAGGTGGGGAGGGGTGAAGGGGTCACCACTGAGCAAATAAATACATATATGAAAGATACAATGGGAGGTGAGTTTCTCATTGCCGGAGATGACATTGCAAGCATGGAAAAAAGAAGGCTGGGAAGAAGCCTGAGGTGTTGGATTAAAATGGGAAGTAGTAGTATGAACTCAGGATTAAAAACAGATCTGTGCAGATGGATACTGTAGTAGTACAGATACGTGTGTACACATGTTCCCACATAAGTTTACACACTTACATATCTTTCCTAGCATTGTCCATGGAGAGGGCCTACAAGCAGCGAGCGCACCAAGCACTCAGACCTTGGTTTCTAAACACCACTCTCTACTACAAAGAATGAGTGAGGGCTCTGGAGAAATCAGATTCCTGGGCTGGATCAGGCAAAGCACAAGATTAGCCTGAGATCACTTGTGTTGGAAAGTCAGGAAAAGCTCATAAGAGTGATGGAGACCTGTCAGATAACACAGACACCAACTTGAAACACACGTGGGCCAAACCTAGGATGATTTGAGCATTAAAATAAATACTGAGGGTAGCAGGTGATAACCCACTGGAGTAAATGGGAATCTGTGAGTCCAGGCTGAGGTAGAGAAGTGAATAAATGAGCAAGTCAGTGGAGGAGGAGGGTCAGCTCTTCTGTGCAGTAGAATGCCAACCAGCAAGTCCAGAAGAAATGGCAAACATTGGGCATTGCTATTGGGCATTTCCACAGGCGGCACTGAGACAAGCAGGAGCCACCAATGGATGCAAAGGCTGCTGGGCAGAGACGCCAAGGATCAGAAAATTGGTATCACATCAGACTCTCCTTCCATGAAGTGCTAGTCAAATAGGAAGGGGGAAAGGGGACTTGAGAGTGGAGAAAGCTGGCAGCCACTGGTTGAGCAGGCCATCAGGGCTGACATCACCGGTGGTGGGTTGGGTCAACATGGTGGAATCTTTCAGTGTGAGGCACTGAGGAGTGCTCAGCTGCATTTCTGTGCACTTCCTCCAGGAAGGCCCAGCCTGAGCCTGGACATGGGTCTGAAGGTCCCAGAATAACAAGTTCTTTAAAACTGACAAGGACCGCAAGACGAAGAGAGAGTGAGGAATTGCTGCAGCCCGGAAGAGCTCAATGCAGAGAACCCGTGGACCAGCTGGACCCAGATCCCGGACCAGCATGAAGACAGGTGGCAACAATGAGCAGGGCCTGCCGCACCCCTGCTGATCGCCCGATGGGGAGGGTGTGTGGGGACGATGCAGAGAGGGTCCTTGTTTTTGGAAGGTAGACGTGGGAGTATTTGAGGGTGATGGGGCAAATGCAGAAAAATGAGAGCCTCTTGAAAATTTTCCCAAAGAAGAGGGGAGTGAGGGAGAAGACAGGAGCCTGACCAGGTGCAGGCTCACACGCGATCTTCCCCAGGGTGCCCCAGCCCAGAGCTTCACAAAGGGGCATTCTGCACAGAATCCTTCTGGGATTCTCCCTGGTTCCCCCAAACTCAGGGCACCTTCAACTGCAGACCTCCATGCTCAATTCCAGCCAGACCCATGCAAAACAGCAGAAGGGACAACCATTTATTCCCATCCTCACTCAGCATCCAATGAAAAGTGGGGCCTCTTGCCCTAGCCCAGAGACTTTCATCCTGATGCCTCTAAGAGGTCTGGGATGGAGGAGGTCAAAGACAGCTGTGGGTGAGCTGAAGTGGTCTGGAGATAGGGGCCAGGCCAGGAGAGGCAGAGGCCTGGCCCGGCTAAGCTCTGCACAGGGCTGGCCTGGAATAAAAGGTGTGAGGCAGCCCAGAGGAAGACTGGCTTCCTCCTGCTGAGCGCTCTTGGGCACTCCCTCCTGGCCCTTCCGAGATGCTCCAGCAGAGAACCTGGCCCATGGGCACCCCCTCTTCCAGGGGGACACAAGGTGCAGGGCACAGGGCATGCAGCCTGGAGAACCAAGTGCTGGCTGGAATGCACACAGCATGGTCAGGACTGTGGCCCCGCAACATGCCACTGCTTCTGCCGTGCTCTCTGGCGGGGCCTCCTGCCAGCAGTCTGATCCTTCAGTCCATCCCCTCTAGAGTCATCTTCAACCCAGCCCTGACCAGATCAAGCCCTGCTCAGAAGCCTTCGGTGCCAGCTCCCCACCCCGGCCAGGCTCCTCCTTTACTCCGCCATTCACCTCTTGCCACTCTTCCTTACCCCACTGTCATGATGCCTTCTGCTGCCACCACCAAGGACCTGCCTGCACCTCCACTGTCCCTGCCTGATAACACACACAGGAAGTGCCCAGCCAGTATTTGCTGACTTCAAAGCATGCCTCCTGGACCCAAACTGTCAGCAAGGGTTTGTCTACATGGAGTAAGTCCCAGGGTTTTGCCCCTTGGCTAGAGAGAGCAGGGAGTAGACCCATAGGGACGCGGGGAACCAAGTGGCTTCAATGGGGCCTAAGCAGGGCAGCTGGTCAGTGTGACAAAGGCCAGGCCTGGCCCAGCTCAGCAGACGAGACTGTTGTCTCTGTCACCTGCTCCCAAATGCCTCCCCTCCCCAGGTCCAGCCCCAGGGCCACCCACCTGCAGTTTCCAGAGGAAGTCGAGGCGGGCAGTGGACTCCACCTGCTGGGCATGCAGGTACAGGGCCAGCACAAAGACTGAGATGATGATGGGTGTCACCACCTTCAGTGCCACCTTGGTTGCGTGCTCAGGGCTGTGGATGGGAGGTGGACAAGCCTGAGACCACCCTGGCTCCTCACAGCAGGCCTTGAGGACCCCCACCCCTACCCACTGCTGGCCCTTTTTTCTTCCTCTCACGATACCTTCCCCTCTTCCTTACCCCCCTGCTCAAACTTTACCTCACGTGTGCCTCCTTCAGAAATACTTCCTGGCTGGCAGCCCCATCTCAGACCCTGCTTGCACCTGCAGCTCAGACAGCCATTACTCCTCTCCTGACGCCTCACAGCCCCTGTCACTTGTGAGCTCCCCACTGGTCAGAACAGGGGATGAACTCAGCCCTTCTAAAAGGCAGCATGTGCATCCAGATCCTTCTCTGCACAAGACAGGGGCAGGGGGTGCAGTAACAAGGGGGCCAGGCAGGCCATGCTGACCCGGTCTCTGGACAACCTTGGGTGAGTGCCTTAACCTCTCTGAACTTTACTTTGCTTGTCTGTAAAGCAGGATAATAATACCTCCATTTCAAGACGCTAGTAAGGATTAAAGAGATATTATAATCAAAATGCTTAGTGCAGCATCTGACAAACAATAGATGCTCCAAAATCAGCAGCATTATTGTCAAATTCTATTTTGGTTATTATCACTAACAAATACTCTTAACAAAAGCAGCCATTCCAAACCTTACATCTTGTGCCAGCCAAGAGCTCAAACCCTTGAAGGCCGCATAGTGGCTCCAGTGAGCCCCTGCTCAGGCAGCAGCCCTCAGTGCAGGGACGGGTCCTATAAGTCCTGCTGGCCTTGCCTTTGTTCCTCTACTCCAGAAGGAAATCAGGTACCGGCTTCCATTCTCCTGTGTCTGGGGTTCTCATACAGGCTCCCAGGGAAGAGTTTGAGGCTAAATGCTTTAAAATGAAACCATGATCCCAACCACTGAGCCTACAGATCACTTTGGCAGGGATCATGAAAGTGACCAGGGCCTCTGCCCTCTGAGGATGCCCTGCTACCCCAGGAGGGGCCAGCCTGGGGTCCCTCCGTTAGCCTCCTCCTTCACCACCCACCTTGCTACCAAGGCCCCTCCCACCTGGCACCGGCTGCCTTCCCTGTGTGCTCTGTGTGGAGGGCAGGGAGTGTCCCTAGCCAAGGAGCATCAACTCACCACTGGGAGGTCCCGTTGTTGTTGAAGTCTCTGTGAAGAGAGTTGGGGAAGACTGGTCAGGGCCACCCTTCTGCATAAGGCAGCCTCTGCTCCTACTCAGGCCCCACGCCCTGCTCTGCTGTCCCCACTACCACTCTCCTTGGCTCCCCAGCCCCATGCTCCCGCCATATCCAAGGACACTTCCAGGATGGGAGGTGGCAAAAAGCCCAGCCCCAACTAGCATCAGATACACACGACCACAAACCATCCCTCTTACCTAGGACCCTGCCTTTCCCGACCCTAGCACATCTGCCTGGGTGGAGGCCTGCCTGCCTCTCCAACTCCCAGACCTTTGCTGCCACCCAGAGGGAGTGGAGGAGAGATCCTGCAACCACACTGCTTGGTGTGGCCGCCGCTGGCCACGTGCCGCTACTGAGCGTTAACATGGGGCTGGTTCGAGTTAAAATGTGCTCCAGGTGTTCTCACTCATAGGCGGGTGTTGAACAATGAGAACCCATCGACACAGGGAGGGGAGCACTACACACTGGGGTCTGTTGGGGGGAACAGGGGAGGGGCAGCAGGGGGTAGGGAGTTGGGGAGAGATAGCATGGGGAGAAATATCAGATATAGGTGAAGGGGAGGAAGGCAGCAAATCATACTGCCACGTGTGTACCTATGCAACTATCTTGAATGTTCTTCACATGTACCCCCAAACCTAAAATGCAATAAAAAAAATTTATAATTAAAAAAAATGTGCTGTACGTGTGAAACATACACCACACTCTGAATAGCTCTGAATAATTAGTTTTTAAAAAGGTAAAATATTTCATTAAGAATTTTATATTGATTACATATTAAAATTATATTTTGGCTATAGAGTATTGGTTAAATAAAAGTCAAGTTACACTTTTTGTCCTTTTAATATGGCTATAAGAAATTTTTTTTTTTTTTTTTGGAGGCAGAGTTTTGCTCTTGTTACCCAGGCTGGAGTGCAATGGCGCGATCTTGGCTGCCTGCAACCTCCGCCTCCTGGGTTCAGGCAATTCTCCTGCCTCAGCCTCCTAAGTAGCTGGGATTACAGGCAGGCGCCACTATGCCCAGCTAACTTTTTGTATTTTTAGTAGAGACAGGGTTTCACCATGTTGACCAGGATGGTCTCGATCTCTTGACCTCGTGATCCACCCGCCTTGGCCTCCCAAAGTGCTGGGATTACAGGCATGAGCCACCGCGCCCGGCCAAGAAAATTTTAAACTACCTAAGTGGCTTGCCTTTTTTTTTTTTTGGAGATAGAGTCTTGCTCTGTTGTCTAGGCTGGATGCTGCCCCATGCTCCACCTCCTGGGTTCAAGCTATTCTCAGCTGTCCTTGTATCTCAGCCTTCCAAGTAGCTGGGATTACAGGTGTGCACCACCATGCCTGGCTCATTTTTTTATTTTGAGTAGAGAAGGGGTTTGTCATGTTGGCCAGGCTGGGCTCAAGTGATCTACCTACCTCAGCCTCCCAAAGTGCTGGGATTATAGGCGTGTGCCACTGCATCCGACCCACTTTTTATCTACTGGACAACGCTGCCCTAGAGCCAAACCAGGGTCTCCTAACCCAGAAATAACCTTCATTGTCTGCTGCCAACTTCAGCACCTGAAGATGAGATGTTGGGGATGGGGAAGGAGCAGTAAGAAGAGGAGAGCAGGCTGGGTGCAGTGGCTCATGCCTGTAATCCCAGCACTTTGGGAGGGGGAGGTGGGCGGATCACGAGGTCAAGAGATAGAGACCATCCTGACCAACATGGTGAAACCCTGTCTCTACTAAAAATACAAAAATTAGCTGGGCATGGTGGCTTGCACCTGTAGTACCAGCTACTCGGGAGGCTGAGGCAGGAGAATTGCTCTAACCCAGGAGGCAGAGGTTGCAGTGAGCCGAGATTGTACCACTGCACTCCAGCCTGGTGCCTGGCGACAGAGTGAGACTCTGTCTCAAAAGAAAAAAAGAAGAAGAAGAAGAGGAGGAGGAGGAGAGGAACATTTCCTGCTCCAGCCCTGATCCATGGGTAGAACATTCCTGGATCTCTTCCTCCTTCTCCTCCTCAAGATTCAGCCTGTCCCAGGCTGACTGTACTGTGTCTTTGTGGTCATCTGCCCATAGCTCCCACACAACCACCAAGAAGTTCTTCCTTGAATATGCCTTAAACCCTTCATCACACCTTCACTTTCTCAGGCGACACTGCCTTCCCAAGAAAGGCACATTCCTGCAAGTTTTCTGTTGAGCCACATTGTACGTCCACTGCCTAGCTCTGTGGCTGGCGCATAGCAGGCCCTTAATAAATATTTTTGAGTGAGTGAACGGGTGAATAAATGCATGGATGAATCCCTTCCTCTAACTCAAGGTGCAGTTTGCTGCATTTTCTCAGGGGACAAAGAACTGTCATTTTTTTTTTGGCATTTCTTGGTGTGTGTGTAGGGAGTGGTGATGGGTAGAAAAGCATATTCTGCATTAGGCACTTTAAATACATTTTACTACTATGGGTGTTGATAATCTACAGGTCACATTTGCCAAGCTTCCAAATTAACCTGCTTTGGGGAGATCTTCAGATTTACGGCAATATCCTGCCCCTGAGTGAAGAATCTTATCTAAGTTCCTCAAATTGCTGAGGTACTGATGAATGAATACCCCACTGCCATGAAAAAATGCTGATTTGCTTCTGAATCATGAAGTTGTACTGACTGCTGGCATGCAGACATTTTAGTCGTATGTTGCAGTGTGTAGCCAATGACTGTAACCCTCCAATGACAAAGGGCAACTCCAATATGAGGAGTCCTCCTCCCTTCTCAACTTTCTCATGAAAGAATTCCCACTTGTAACAGCCTCTGGAATACGCCCAATTTGCTGTATGTGTCTTCCTGGCCAATCCTCACATTCAGCTTCCAACAGAACTTGACCAAATTATTTCTGCCTCAACTTCCTTAATTTGGGTTGACAACATTCCCATTTACAAGGAAAAAATAATGAGGTTCAGAGGAATAACCAGTGTGTGTCTGATGCTGAGATTCTAACCCAACTTCACCCGAGGCCTTTCCCCTCATGGAGCCACCTCCCTTGGACATCTGACATCTGTCACCACATGACCATGTTGACTGTGGGGCCAGACAGCTGTGGGCCCCACCTTCATGCCCACCACCTCTAGGACGTGGGACCTAGCCTCTGCCACCACAGCCAGGAGCCTTTGAGTAGTGCCCCAATGCCCAGCCTTATGCGGTGGGCCTGCCTACTTGGCTGGGTTGCTGGAGGATGAAGAGGAACAACGGATGTCCAAGCACCTGTCTCGAGGTGGGACACGGAGCCTGTGAACAGCAAAGCTTGTCCCTCTACTCCCACACACCTCGCTGCCCGGCTCTGCCTGGACCGTAACTCCTCTGAGCCTGGGGCAGCTGGACCGAGGTGAAAGCAGCCCCCTTGGAGGCTGCCCTGGCAAGGGAGGAGCGAACCAGAGAAAGAAACACAGTGGGGCCTGGTCACCTGAGGCCACTCCCAATACTGGGGACAGGAGGGAAGGAAAGAAATGAGACCCTGCCCTACTTTAACCAGATGTCAGGGCTAGGGAGGAACAAGACACTCTCCTCACAAGCTCCCTATGGTGGCAGGACCCTGAACCTCCTGCTCTTCCCACCTCCCTGCAATGTCCCGCACCCAGTGAGTAGCGTGAGGGAGGTGCCCCATACATGGCATTGGCGGTGACCAGCAGGTCGGCATTGTCGAACAGCGTGACACCTGGCACCTCCACGACGAGCACGTAGATGAGCTCGATGGCCAGCATGAGCACCAGCTTCCCGATGCAACTGATCTGCAGGAACACGGAGCAGGCCAGCAGGCTGAGCAGCACGCTGTAGGTGAAGTACTGCGGGCAGAGGGCAGTGGCATCAGCTCCCCAGGCCCTGTCCGCCTCCTAACCCCAGCCCCGTGCATCTTCCAGTCTGTGCTGGCTCAAGTGAGGCCTGGGCTGGGCATGTTTCTGCTGAAGTTAATTTGCCAACAGGTGTGATGTAAGGTGAAGAGCCAAGCCTGGATTCCCATTCAGACCCTGATCGAGATAACCAGGAGGCCAACACTTGATGCTGGGGACCCCCCAGGGCCTGGTCTGTGAGGAGTTGCTGAATCAGGAGCAACCCTTGTGGGGGGTGCTCAGCTGGTGTAGGCTGAAGGCTGGCACCAAGCCTCTCCCACAAATGAGGACCCAGGACCTGCCCACTGCCACCCTCTCCCCCCAGGCCCTAGACTCACTAGAGGAAGCCACCACTAAGGGACAAGTATGAGACCAGAAATAGCCTCTGTTCCTCACAAATAGGCCTCAGAAAGACGAAGTGCTCCTGTGGTATCTCAGCCAGACAGGAAAGGCAGCAGAGGCTGGGGAGGGAGGCAGGGGAGAGGGGGCTAGGAAGGGGAGGCTGGGTGCAACATGGCTGCCTGGAGGAGACAGAGAGCTTGCCAGCAGCTCAATGGCAGAGTGGGGGTGCCCTGCTACTCCCCGGGCCTTCCCTGCCCTATCTGTACAACTGAGAGGCGGATCCCAGGCTGGGAGGGAGGCGGACGCTGACAGCCCACAGCACCGAGTCACAAGCCCTTTGGGAGTTGGATGAAAACATGGACCTTCTCCCCCAGAAAAAGGCAGAACATGCCCCCCATCTTACAGGCTTCACATGCACACCCACAGGGAGCTGGGGTGTGGGAAGAGGGAGGCTGGATGCCCGGCCCAGCTGCTGACTAACGAGCTGGTCTCTGGCAAACGCAGCACTGAACGAAGCACCTTCAGTACCACAGGTGCTTACTATCCGCTGTTCTCCAAATAAGGATATGTGGCATTATTTTTAAACCCAAATGCCTGTAGGCACAAAATTTCTTTTTGGGGTGATGGAAGTGTTCTAAAATTAGATGACGATCATGGCTGCACGCACACGTCGGTGAACACACTAAAAGCTACTGAACTGTGCACTTTGAACGGGTGAGGTTTATGGTAGTGCTGGTTTGGGATCGGGTTTCTTTGCTCCCCTCTCTCCTCTCTGACTCTAACAGCTGGGTCTTAGGTGGGTTCTCCTGAGGTGGGGTGGGGTAGGGCCTGCTAGAGAAGCCAAGGGTCCAGAAAGTTTTGCTCTCAGGTCAGGAGCACGAACTCTGTCTGGAGCTGGACAACTTGAATGAGAACTCCAGCTCTGTTGAGTCCTGGCTGTGTGACCTGAGACAAGTGGCTTAGCCTCTCTGTGCATCAGGTTCTTTGCCTCTACAAAGGAGATAATATAACACCTAGGTTACAGGCTGTTGGGAGGATTTAGTGAGTAAATGCATGTAGAGCTCTTAGCCATAGTCCCTGGTAAGCACCACAGAAACAACAGCTATACCACTGTCACTGTCATTGTATACTGAGGAGGCTCCCCTGGTTCCCAGGGTCTGGCATGTGGGAATGAGAGATATTGAGGTAAGCGGGTCTCTAGAAGACAGTGGGCTGGCGAGACCCTGTCCTTCAGACTGTCCTGAGCATCTGAGGGGACAGTGGGGGAGGGCAAGGATTCTCCACCGCTCCCTTCCAGCCCCTGCGTGCCCAGTACCTCGGGGAAGTTGCAGTTGGGCCAGGGGCTGTCGCAGAAGCCCCGCTCGTCGCCCAGGCTATAGTTGACGGCCGACTCTACCACGTGGCATGCGTTGACCTGGCTTGTGCTGATGTTGTGCTCCTGTGCCAAGCAGCCCAGCAGGTCCTTGGAGTTGCACGTGAACTGGGGGCAGGGAGGAGGGCAGTGAGGGGAGGGTCAGCTGCTGGAGGGCCAGGCAGGGCAGCCCAGCCCATCAGGCCAGAGGTTCTCCACCCATCCTCTGCCTCAGGTGCAGCATGACAGACAGGGACAAAACCTGAAAGAGGCTGAGGAACGGGCAAGGTTGGCCCAGCTGCCCTGGCTGGAGGGGGTGTGGCCAGCATGCCCTCCTGAGGAGGGGCTCTTAAACATGCCTCAGGGACATTCCCGGAACTGTTCCTGGCCCCACCAGTCTTGACAATGAAGAGCTAAGAACTTCACTTCATGGGAGAGTAGCCAAGCATGTTAGCTCATGCCCATAATCCCAGCCCTTTGAGAGGCTGAGGCCAGCAGATCACTTGAGCCCAGGAGTTTGAAACCAGCCTGGCAACCAGCCTAGAAACATGGGGAAACCCCATCTCTTAAAAAAAAAAAAAGAAAATAGAAAAATTAGCTGGGTGTGGTGGTACACACCTGTATTCTAGCTACTTGGGAGGCTGAGGCAGGAGGATTTCTTGAGCCTGGGAGGTAAAGGCTGCATGAGCTGTGATGGCACCACTGCACTCCAGCCTGGGTGACAGAGTGAAATGGTCTCAAAAATGAAAAAGGAAAAAAAAAAAAAAAAAAGAACTTGCATGAGGCACATTGAGTCAAAGCTAATCCAAGACCCTGGTGTGACACAAATAGGAATTTCCAAAGGAAAGTCACTCCTAGCCCTGCCTATCAGGTACGTCTCCACTGGGTTTGACCCAGTGGGGCTGTGGAGGTGCTGGGAGGTCGTGCCGTCACCCACCATGTTGACAAAAGCCGCCAGGAACACCAGAGTGATGGTGAACACCCCAACCAGGGTGCTGTTCATCTTGGACCGCACGATCTTCCTGGAGAGAGTCTGCAGCGGGGAGGGGAAGAGCTGGGGTTGGGGGTGGTGGAGAGAGAGGAAGAGAGAGACGGAATAGTATTCAGTGAAGACTCCACAAATGATCCCAGGAGAGCAGTGGACCCACCTGCGTCCCTCCCCGGCACAGCCCCTGGGCCTTCCTGGCAGCCCTTGAACCGCTGCACCACTGCTTCTGGGTCAACGGCAGGGCAGATTCTGCAGCTGACCAGGAGCAGGACTACATGGGGAACACAGGTGACAGAGGCAGGATGAGAAGAAAGATGGTATCTTGACCCAACAGAGAAACCAATAAAAAAAGCACACTGACCGCTGTGTGCCATCAGGGAGGGGCAGTGGGTGGCAGCTGAGGAGTCATGGAGGGCTCAGAACATTCCCAGGAGGGGTGAGAAGGCTTCTGGGAGGGAGTGGGCAGTTGGTTTAAGGATTTGGAGAGGACTAGGTTTCTGGGCTCCGGAAGAAGGACTGAGCAGCCAGAAGCAGGAGAGAGGTGGGTGTGGCACTGAGCACTGAGTGAGCTCTGTCCTTAGCGCAAAGCTCCACGGACCTGCCATTTCCCTCACCCTCTCCTCTGTATTCTTCCACTAGACAAACCATGTCTACTCAAAAACCCCCTGCAGCTTTGGTAATTAAATGATTGGGCTCCTAAGTTCCATTTCTGCTACCAAATCTGACGCAGCTGGCCTTGTTAAATGATGTCCCCCTCATCTGCCTCACAACCTAGGCTGAAAAAAGAATCTGATGGGCAGGGAAGCAAGGCAGTGGATCCAGGCTGCCCCACCCCTATCCGCCCCAACCCTTCCTGCTGAGGCCTATCTGCTGAAGCCATGCTAGGTGGTCCATAAAACCCCCAAGGGCAGACAGGGTGGTGGGAAAAGCACTGGACCAGGAGCTTGGCTTGGCTTTTCCTGCATGTTCCTGAGCAAGCCATATCCCTTCTCTGAAGTCTCCTATTTGTAGGACGCTTGGCACCCTTGGGCACCCCCAGCTTTTGTGGTAAGTGAAGCAGGCAAAGGTCTCTACCCCAGTTGTGGGCTGTGAATATCCCTGCAAATTCTTGCTGAGCATGACAGACCACAAGGCTTCTCCATCCTGATACTGAGAGCATCTGCAGTTGGCCACACTGACAGCGAAGTCAGTCACAGGCCCAGGCCATAGCATGACCACCATGTGACTACTCACTCCCAGCAGGGAGGGGAACTGGCTTGTGTGCTACCCTCTTTGCTGCCAGCTCAAAAAAGTGCCGGGCCCTTGGTCCAGTGTTCCTCAGCTACAACCAAACTCACTACATGTACAGCATCCATGAGGGCCCATCACATGGGACTTCAGTGTCAAAGGGACTTCAAACACAAATACACTGACGCTCATGCTGCTGACTGTGACGTGAGTAATAAAGTTTTTGTCTCTGACCCAGGAGTCCTGTGTCTTCTGCCAGCCTCTGCGAAACAGTGACAAACAAACTCATTACTTTCTAAGTAGGGAAAAATTACACCTTAGACCCTTCAGAGTTCTTGACAAAAAGTCAGGTCCCTGCTCACCCCCAGGTCTTGGGCTTGGGGCTGGCTGTGTGCGTAGGGAGCCTGTGTATCTTTCTGACCCCAGAATCTTCCTCCACCCTTCAAACAAGGCCATTTCCTATCAGCAGAGGGAAAGAGGGGACCACAAGGATGGATAGATCACAGGAAGGGCTGCTGCCATGGCAGAGGCCTGGTGGTCTCATGTAGGCTACAGGCTGAAAGGTGAAGTCCTGGGACTCCATCTCCCCAGCAGGAGAGCCTTCCAGGTATGCTCCTATACCATCAAGCCTGTGGCACTTGTTCTGAACAAACGCTGGGATAATAAAAGAGACCCTCTGACCAAACCCTCTTATGTGGTAGAAGGAAAGGTAAGTGTGATCTGGAGAGCATAAGCTTCTATTAAAATCCTGCTTAATAGACACAGAAATAAATCAAATAGATTGAGGGTCCAGAAATAAACCCTTCCATTTATGTCCCATTGATTTTGACAAGCGTTCCAAGAAAATGGTGAAAGAACAGTCTTTTCAAGAAATGGTGCTGGAATACACAGATATCCACATGCAAAAGAAGGAAGTTGGGTCCTTACTGCACCCTGTACAAAAATTAACTCAAACTGGACCAGAAAACCTAAACGTAAAAGCCCAACCACAGAACTCTTACTGGAAGCCATGCCAGTAGATGTCTGTGATTTTGGATTAGGCAACGGTTTCCGAGAAGTGACACCAAAAGCACCAATCAAAAAAGAAAAAATAAATTGGACTTTATCAAAGTTAATAGTTTTTGTCCTTCAAATAACACCATTAGGAAAGTTTCAAAAGTATTGGTGAGGATGTAGAGAAACTGGAATCCTTGTGCATTGCTGGTGGGAATGTAAAATGAAGCAATCACTGTAGAAAACAGTAGGGCAGCTCCTCAAAAAATAAAGCATACAATTATCACGTGATCTGGTAATTCCACTTGTGGGTATACGCCCAAAGAACTGGAAACGGGGACTTGTACAGATACTTGTACACCCATGTTCACAGCCGTATTCTTCCTAATAGCCTCAAAGTGGAAACAATTTAATTGTCCAACAATTGATGAATGAATAAACAAAATGTGATATGGCCATACACCGGAATGTTTTTCAGGCATAAAGAGAGTAAAGTGCTGTTACATGCTACAACAGGAAGAACCTTGAAACTAATATGCTAAGTGCATGAAACCAATCTCAAAAGGCCATGTGAGATTCCCTTTATGTGAGATTCCAAGTAGCTGAGTGGTTGCCGGGGGCTGTGGTGATCAGGGAAGGAGGAGTGACTGGTGATGGGTCTAGGGGTTACTTTTGGGGATGACAACAACGTTCTAGAATTAGCGTCAACAGTTGAACAACTTTGTGAATATACTAAAAACTAGTATAAGTTCATTCACTTTTATAAAGGTGAATTTTATGGTATGCAAATTATATTTCAATGAAGCTTGTATTTAAAAAAATCTCGCTCAGCCTCTTATTGGCTATGTGATTCTGGGACATTACTCTACGCTGAGCTTCAGTCTCCTTCTTGGGAAATTGGGAATAGCCTCTCCCAGAGTGGCTATCAAGACTTAGTAAAGTGAAGCATTTGAAAGTGCTCTGTAAGCTGTTAAATGCAACAGAAAAGTTAGCTATTTGCATTTTAAAGAGCTATGTTGCCAATGAGAATGAAAGTCCTTATTTCCCATTTAAAGGAATTTTTTGGTTTCACAGCCGGGGAAAGTGTTTTGGCACCAGCATGAGGATCTTACTCTGAAATGGTATGACAGATGGTTTCAACTCTTTGGTTACTTAAAATGCTGTCATTCTATCTCCATCCCCTTCCCCTGCCCCCACCCCAACTCCTATATGCTCGATGTTGTTTAAACTGTTCAGTTCTGATCACTCCCATCCACTGATGGAGAGGCTTCCTTAATCATTTTGCAACCACCAAGGTAATGAATGATAGAGGCAAAGGTTATTAATACATGCTAAAACTTTCTTATTAAAAGGTGGTTGGAGAATAGAGTATGCACACTAGCTTCCTAGCAAATACGGGACCAGGTGCCCTCCAGGACCATCCAGAGGCCAGGAGAAGAACTGCAGGCTTAAAAAAAAATCAATATTAGATGTGGCTCTAGCATCTAATGAATGACTGAGTGTGTACTGGCTTGCTTGCTACAAGTCAACTTCCATCTACACCCTTTAAAAAGACTTTCTCTTGACTTGAAAACCTCCGTAGGAACTCAGGAACTGCTGCTTTTTTGAAGTCTCCAGAAGATCTGACATCCTGTCTTGATATCAGTTTACAGAGTGTCTTGTCTCTAATCACAGCATTCATCCTGCATGTCAACCCTAAATCCAGATTTTACTAACCCCAATGTGGCTCTTAAAACTCTTTGCCAGGGGCAGAGTCTCTTCCCAGGGTTACACCACAACTGCAGTCAGATCGTGGAGAGCATTTTCCAGCAGGATCACTGTCTGCACCAACCAATCACTTAATGCCTGCTCACAATCCGAGCCCAAAGAACTGATGTTAAACAAAAATAAGTTCAGAACCAGTACATTCCCACTCTGATAAATTCAAATCAATTCAACATGAAAAACAGGTGTGGGAACATAGTTAATAAACCATGATTAGGGTAAGGAGCAGTTTTGATCCTGGCTTCTTTGAGCATCTCCAGGCACATCAGTGACCTCCCTAGGCTCCTGCCTGTGATGTGGGGCCACGGTATTGCAAAGATAAAAGGAGGGGATGAAGTCGGATGGCAAAAAAAATGTAAGAATACAGCCTCTTTGACAAGGAGCTAATAAAAGAAGCAGAGCTCCTACTTCAGAAAAAGAAAAGAAGATAAGAAAGCCACAGAAGTCAAACCCGGCAGGCAAAAGGGGTCCACACCAGTGGTCTCATCACTTGGCCTTTCAGGAGTCAACTGGACATACTAGCAGAGGCAGTGTCCTGGAGGGGAATGCTCATGACCTCTGAGTAAGAACTGCTTGGGTTTAAATCCTAGCTATAACCACTTCCTAACTCCAGGATCTAGAAAAAGCTGTCTAACCTCTATGAGCCTCAGTTTCCTCATCTGCAAAGTAGGTTCAATAAAAGCCACTTTTGAGGCTCAGGAAACACAGCTCAAAGTAGCACAGCTTCAATGTGGACCCTGGACTGTCCTGACTTGGAAAACACAGGGGTAGCCTACAATATGCCCACTGGAATGAAGACCTCTCCATCTCTTAAATGAAAGACGTGTATGATGAGATGTGAATGACGAGATGAATATGGCCCTGAGCACGCAGGTAGAAAGGAATCCTAAAATCCTCACAGGATAGAAGACACCGAGGAGGGGAGGGGTACCGGCTGTAGTTAGACTCTATTCTAGAAACTGTGGACCAGGAGTCGAGTTGGAATGGTAGAAAGGAGAACCAGCAAGGTGGGCTTAGCTACAGGCAGGCTGCAGGGAGAGGAGAAGAGGCTCTGCTGGTGACTGCAGAGCAAATAGGGCCCACAGGAGGCTCTGGTCAGGGATCCCAGGCGCTGGCGCTCAGACCATCAGGTATAGGGGATCAAGATGATGTAGTCCAAGAGCGAGCCATCAGGCTAGGGGTAAGAGAGATTTATACACACACAAGCACACACACATGCACGCGTGCACACACAGGGCCTATCTGTAACCTAAGTCCCAAACTGCTGGGAAGGAGAGTTTAGCCTTCTGAACAAGGTTGCACTCATGAGCCACAGTGAAGGCTGTGGACCTGGATCAGATGGTGGGGAAAGAAGAGTCACCATTTGGGTGGTGGCGGCAAAAGTCCCAGCACTGTCAGGTATAGACCAGGGCTGCTTCACTGGATGATGAGGCAGGAGCTCCAAGGGAGCCTAATGGAGCATTCAGAGCTGGCCAAAGAGGAAGGGGCTGCACTCAGGAGCCGTGAATGAGCTCCCCATCCCTGGAGGTGATCGAGCACAGGCTGGCCCACCCCTCACAGGGAATTCCAGCCTCAGGTGCATGGCTGGGCCCTCTCACTGCATGGGCCCCTTTCAACCTGAGATTCCCAGAATTGTGGACGATGTGCCATGGTGAGCAAGGCTTTAACATGGTTTTCTGTAAGAAAAGCAGTTCTGCGGCCCAGGTCAGCACAGATGTCAAGGGAAGGATGTGATGTCTGCAGATGTGCAGACTTGCCCTCTTTAGAGGGCATCTCCAGAAGGAAGCATTCAGGGGAATGGTCCCTAAGGCAGGGCATCTGAGGGGCAGTGGGGCTCAGCAAGGCAGCTGAGACTTAGGAGTGGAACCAGGACTTGAGGACACGATGAAGATCAAGGCACCAAGTTAACTTCGCTGAGAAATCCAGGGGAGTGTGTGAACTGGACTGAGCTGTGTTGAGCAAAGACTGAACAGACCTGAGATAAAAAGGCCACCAGAGCACTTAGTAAGAAGGGAAAAACCAGAAAGGACCAGGAAAAACTGCTCCCTGACAGCCAGAGAAGGCGACTCACTCAGTCGATACTTCCTCTTATTTCTCCCTTCAAAAAGGTGGAAATATGGACAGTTTAAGGAAGTCAGTCCATGCTGCTCTGGGAAAACGGAAAAGTACATGAAATAGAGAAAGGGACTGACATGGCCTGGCTTGGGGGTAATTTAGGAATTGCTGCATCTCACCACAGCGCCCCTCCCCATGACTTCTGAGACTGGGAAAATGAGAGGAAAGGTTTGAGTTCTGGTAAAACCACAAATGTTTTGACGGACCCTAAACACTGCAGGGCAGTCAGCTTCGTGTGAGCACCTGCGAAGGTAAGAAAATGAACTTCAGCCGGTCAACCCCTGCCAGTCAGTGTGCCACAAGTGCTCAGTGACAGGCTGACACCCCTGCCATGCACAGGACGGGAGACAGAGCCAGGAACAACCCCCTTACATGTCTTCACATGCAAGCCGTTTAACCCACAACATCGAAGGGCAAAGAAGAATTCAATGGAAAGAAGTTCGTATTGCAAATGACTTTTCGAATTGGGCTGTGTGTTCCAGAAAGTAGATAAACCCTGAGAAGACGGCTAATCAGGCCAGGAGAGAAGGAGGCAGCTTTTTGGTCTTGCTGTTGTCAAGGCCCCCCCAGCCTGCTTTATCCAGAGCGGACAGTTCTACTTCTTCATCCCAGTGAAAGGACACCGTATTTTCTCAGTAGCCCACAAAGTGGTAACAACCCGAGCGTCCATCAACAGATGAATCAAACAAAATGTGCCGTATAACTGCAGCGGCATGTTATTGAATCACAAAAGGAAGGAGTGGCTGAACATGGGGCAGGAGGGAGGCTGTGGCCTTGAGGAAGGAGGGTCAGTGGAGAGGCAGGGAACCAGCATTAAGCCCTATGATGAAGCCTATCGGATGCCACAAGATGACAAACCAGCGAAACACGCGACTTGGCGTGCTGTGCTTCTCACAGACATGCCCAATGGCTCTGGCTGACCTTGCCCCCCCTTGGCGTCCACCACTGTGCCTGCCAGGGGAGGTGAACCACACCAGATATTCCTAAGATCCCTTCCAGTTCTGACAGAAGACATGGTGCTCACTGCATTAGAGGGAGTTATGGCAAGGCTTCAGCTTTCAAGGGGCCCCACTGTCCACTCCAAGGGCTTGGCTCCCAGTGAGTATCAGGGAGGAGCTGAGAGGCTCAGCAGATGCGGGAGAGGCACAGATCTGCCCCGGGGATGAGTGCTTCTTCGGTGCCAGGCTGACGCGTCAGGAAATTCTGAAATCATTGGTGAGGAAACCGAGGGAAAGGCCTGATGGGCAGGGCGAACAGGAACCTGAGTGTTTTCTACCACAGACCAGTATAACCCGGGGCCAGGTTGCATCGAGGGACACAGCCTGGACAGGGAACACAGTGCACCTAAGAGATATGGGAGAAAAACTCAGAACAGGAGCCACATTTCTGTTCCAGGACTCACGCTGCCAACACCTGCTGGCTGTGTGGCCCAGTCGGAAACGCTGAATCACTCTGGGGCTACACTTCTCATCTATGTTCAGAGATGCTTGAAATCCATAATCTCTGAGGTCTCCTCCACGGAAAATTCCAGAGCACATGGGAGCACCAAAGCGGGTGTCGAGAGAGACCTCCTCCATGCTCATTCTCTCAGCAAATGTTCACTGGGCACTGCTCTGTGCCAGGCCTGGTGCTAGGTGCCCTCCTGCCTTCTGCACAACGTGAACAGGAGCAGCAGCCACAGCATCTTCTGGTTGCAAAGATTTGCGAAGGGCAAGTCTAAAGCAGCCAGTGAAGAACAGGCTCCCACTGACCATCTCCTTGCCTCCAGGCGAGCTTGCTGCCAAAGCCAATGGAGAGGTGTGGCCAGCATCAGGCACTCTCCCACCCCATGCCAAGCACAGTACTTGGGTCCCTTCACATTTTGGGCCCCTGGGTAGGGCCCCTATCAGGGCTGACACAAGCGGGAAGAAGGTGGCTGCACCCCAGGTGTCAGCTACACTCACCTTTATGCAGGAGTAGATCACAGACACAAACACCACCAAGGTCAGCAGCAGGAAACAGGTCAGGTAGAAGCTGAGCATGAATATGGAGCTGGAGGGAGAGAGGAGGGAGAAGCCAGGCTCAGGTGGCAGGGCTGCAGCTTCTGGGGGGTCTGCCTGGCAAGCAAGCCACTGGTCCCCCATGCCTGTCCTCACAGCTTCAGAGGACCTGGGCTCCAAAATCCAGAGAGGAAACCTGAAGTTGCTCCATCTCCCCTAATCCACTGCCCAGCCTTTTGCACTGACTCCCTGACAAGGGCCTACAGGGCCTTGCAGATAGATTCTGGAGCCCTCCCCATAACAGTATGGCTCCCTCCCCTTCTGGTGGGGACAGCAGCTCACAGGGAGCTGAATGGAGAACCATGTGACACCTGATAGGTATTTTGCGTAATTCTTAGCTACTCGATGACGTGCTTCTTTAGCTTGGAAGAACCACCCAGTTGTTCCCTCCAAGTCATCGCTCACAGCTCCACAACTGTGATGGCTGAAAACCGATTGGACCAGTTACCTTATTTCTAAAAATGCCTTTGTCGGCAGCCCAGCCAGCCACTCTGAGAAGCAGGGGTGACTGTGTCTTCAGAAGGACAGCACCTCTAAACCCCGTCCCCTTTCCACGGCCAGGTCCCACAACAAGTCCTGCAGTGTCTGCTCATCTGTTCCCAGACAGTTCAACAAGAAAACTGCTAGGATTTCCCTCTGCCCCTCCTTTCAGATGCAGATCACAGGTGACCTCCAGGGCCACCCTCAGACAAAAGAGCTGCAAGTGACTTTCCATCCAGAAGTTCCCATTGGCCCTCCTGATGCAGGGGCTGGCCTGGGGACAACACCCCACCATACCGCCAGGTGGCCTGGCGATGCCAGGTATTGTTACGGGGTTAAAAGCCAGTGGGGAGTGTGAGAGACAGGTGAATACCTCCAGGGAGGACTCCAACAGGGTGTTTGTTCCAGGTCGCCACAGAAGCGGCATTTAGCTGCCTTCAACAAATGGAACAAGGGAAACGAATTCTCTTCAGAGGAAAAGAAAGATCTTAAAAGTGCTTTTAAGGCTTTCCTACAGAGGAGGCAGCTAGATAATGGCCTCTGCCAATAGGAGCTGTGGCCAGAAGTGGGAACAGAGCCGCTGCAGGCAGGGCAGGTAGCTGGGATGACCCAGCCTCCAAGCCGTGCTGCAGAGAAGGAAAAGCAGCAGAGGCAGGACTGTGCACTCAAGCTACAGGGACTGTCAGTTGCAATGGGAGCAAAAACCCAGGTTGCTTCTTTGTCTTTTTTTTTTTGAGACAGAGTCTCGCTCTGTTGCCCGGGCTGGAGTGCAGCTGTGTGATCTCGGCTCACAGCAATCTCCACCTCCCAGGTTCAAGTGGTTCTCCCACCTCAGCCTCCTGAGTAGCTGGAATTACAAGTGTACGCCACCATGCCCCGCTGATTTTTGCATTTTTAGTAGAGACAAGGTTTCGCTGTGTTGGCCAGGCTGTTCTCAAACTCCTGCTCTCAAGTGATTGGCCTGCCTCGGCCTCCCAAAGTGCTGGGATTACAAGCATGAGCCACCGCACCCAGCCTCCAGGTTGCTTCTTGATACTTGTGGCTCCACATCACCACAGAAAGATGGTTTTTTTTGTGCCAACAAGAACCCCAGCTCGACACAGCCGCAGTGCAGGGGTCAACCAGGGTGGAGCTGGCTGCCAGTGCCTGGTTCGCACCTGTGGCATCCAACAGAGCGACGGCAGATACAAATATAAGGGAGATCTTCTCATTCTTTTAATAATGTCAATAAAAATAAAACCCATGTGGACATCAGGTACCTCTGGCTATGGTACGCGGAGGAGGAGACATCACCACTTCAGTGGGAGCCCTGTCAAAATGCAGGCCCCCAATCTAATCATGAGAAAACATCAGACACACCCAAATTGAAACTACAAATGAATTGGCCAGCACCCCTCAAAAGTGCCAAGGTCAGGAAAGACAAGCAAAGGCTGAAGAACTACCACAGGGGGATGGGACAGAGGACGTGAATCAACGACATGCAGCGTGGGATCCTGCACTGGCTCCTGGGACACACACTGGACAGTGAGGGGGAAATGATGGATTAGAATAAGGTCAGTAGATGAATTAACAGTATCGTTTCAGTGTTAATTGCCCGGTTTTGATCATTATGCTCCAGTTACAGAAGTTGTCAACACTCAGGGAAACTGGATGCAGGCTGCACAGAATCCCTCTCAACTACTTGTTAACTTCTCAAATCCATGATTTCAACATGAAAAACAGAACGTACTGGCTTCGGGGACCCTTTAGATTAAGCGAGGCTTAGAAGATACAACCAAATGCAAGCAGTGGATTTTGAGTAGATCTGGCTACAAATAAACTAGAAGCAGAAGACATTTTGGGGGCAGTTTGGGAAATTTGAATATAGATACAGGGAATTGCTTTTAATTTTTTTGGTATGAAGTATTGTGGTTAAGGAGAAAAACGTCCTAAAATAGGTGTATATTGAGGTTTTTAGGAGCAAAATGTCTGTGTCTGAATATACTTTTAAAAATCAGAATAAAAACAGATGAAACAATGCAAAATATTAACAGTTGTTCTATCTAGGGGATGGGTACTGATTAGATTAATACTTTACTTTTCTGTGCATTTGAGGAATTACATAATAAAAAGTAAAAGTATGTATTTCTACATAGACGTGTGTGTGTGTGTGTGTGTGTGTGTGTATGTCTGTGTGTATAGTTGTGTGTGCATGGGTGTACATATATAAGGCAATGATGTTTCTCTTCCAGGCGAGACTCTAATGCGAATGACAATTTTACAAACACCTCATTTCCAAAAGTCCACTACATAGTTCAAAATACTCCCCACAGAAGCCACAGGCCTTTTCGGCAACAAAAGAGTTCAGAAACACCTCTTTGTGAAATACTTTCAGAACCTGAAATCGATTCTTAGAAATATCCAAGTAGTAGAAAACCTACATCTTTTGAAGATTTTTCTTTTTCAAGAACCAAAGGTCACACAGAAAGCATTCCAGGGAATACTTGGGGTGACTCAATTGTTAGTGGCAGGGTGGGCTAACGGGACAAGACAATTAAGTGATAAAAAGGGATTTCTCGACCAGCCTCAGTGGCTCACGCCTATAATCCTAGCACTTTGGGAGGTGGATGTGGGCAGATTCCCTGAGCTCAGGAGTTTCAGACCAGCCTGGGCAACATGGTGTAACTCCATCTCTACTAAAATATAAAAAATTAGCTAGGCGTGGCGGCGGATGACTTAGTCCCAGCTACTCAGGAGGCTGAGGCAGGAGAATTGCTTGAACTCAGGAGGCAGAAGTTGCAGTGACCAAGATCATGCCACTGCACTCCAGCCTGGGCAACAGAGTGAGACTCTGTCTCCAAAAAAAATAAAAAAGAGGCATCTCTCATGCAGCTGAGCAGCACCTGGTCACCCACCCTGGAATGAGCACATCACCTTCCCACCCAGAGAGGTCAGACCCCTGGCTTCATATCCCACTGAAGGCACACTTCTGTCCCTGCCTGAGCAAGAGCAGGCCAGACTCCCTGCTCTGTTCTCCTAAATGACCACCCCCCTCCCACCCCTGGAATCCCCTGTGGCCAGAGGAAGGAGCCCAAGAAGGATGGGGATACTCACTGGGGCACGATGGTGATCTGGACAAAGCAGATGAAGAGGAAGACGAGCGAGGCACATGCCACATAGGCACCAAATCGGTCGTCCACCTGCTTGGAGTACTGAGAGGAGACAGGCAGGGTGAGAGGGGCCAAGGCACGTGGCCCGGTCCACTGCAGCCCTGTCAATCCCACACACTGAGGGCAGCCTCTCAGGACTGGTCACCTGTGCAGCCCACTCCCACAATAGGAAAGACCTGAGAAGCAGAGCCAGACTTAGACCCCAGGAAACCAGTCCAGATCACCAAAACGTGGTGCCTGTGGGGAGGGCAGTTGAGAGAGAACAGAAACCTTCTGCAGACGGGCCATCTTCAGGGTAATCCATAATGATCATGGCTGTACACGACTGCATGCCATCTACGCACTAGGAAACATGCCAGGTGTCTACAGGCATCATCTGGCATCCCCACAACAGCCCGGGAAGTTAGCATAGAACTGCTGTCATTTCTCCTTCAGAGATGAGCAAACTGGGCCCCAGAGAGCTTGCAAGACTTGTCCCGTCACATCTGAGGCTCCCAGACCCAGCTCCTCCCAGGATACCAACCAGCCACACTGATGGAGGTTGGGCTGGCACAGTCACCCAGAGTAACACCCAAGTGAGGTCCATATGCTGTTGGTCCCTTTCCGCTGCTGGTCCCTTTCCACAGCTTCACCCTGCTAATTCAGTCTGTTTGCCTGGTTTAATGCTAACAAGCATGCCACGAGTCCATTTTAACTAAACTCTGGGGAGACACTGCCACACAGTGCAAAGAGAACTGACTGGACCAGGGTCTGGCTCCAGCTCTGTCACCACTTCACTGGGTGACCAAAAGCAGATCCCCCAACTACTCTGGGTGTTAGCTTTTTCATTCACAATGAGATGCAACGGAGAGATCCTGACTACCCCTGCCAGCTGTAACGCCTTGAGGTCCCAGTGTGACAAAGCAGTTGGGCTGTCCATTGACAATGATAACAGCATTAATGCAAATAGCAACTAACGTGCACTGAACACCTGTGCGGCAGATATTGTTTTATACACACAAACTCGGCCGGGCACAGTGGCTCATGTGGATCACCTGAGGTCAGGAGTTCAAGACCAGCCTGGCCAACATGGTGAAACCTTGTTTCTACTAAAAATACAAAAATTAGCTGGGAGTGGTGGCAGGTGCCTATAATCCCAGCTACATGGGAAGCTGAGGTAGGAGAATCACTGAACCTGGTGGGAGGAGGTTGCAGTGAGCAAGATAAAGCCCCTGCACACCGCACTCCAGCCAGGCCGACAGAGCGAAACTCGATCTCAAAAGAAAAAAGCAAAACAAAACAGGAAAAAAAAAACCTCATTTCATCCTCACTATGACCCTATGAAGTGCGAATGTTAACTGTCCCCATTTTCCAGATAAGGAAATTAAGGCACAGAGAGGTTAAGATTTATCCCTTCCAGCCACGGAAGTCTCCCTAGCACCCTCATCTCCCTAGGTAGCAGCGACGCATCAGAGCTGGGGAAAGTGAGGCCACCCCTTCCACAGGCAGTGCTGGGGGCAGGAGGGAGCTGTCCTGTTTCCTTGCCCTCCTCCTCCTGGTCCTGCTTTGGCGTAGGGGTCTCCTTCCCACCAAGGGTGCTGTACCTTCTTCTCTAAGTCAGGCTCCCTGAAGGTCAAGAGGAACTTGCGGACATGCTCAGACCGAAGCCTATCAATGCTCCTGGCATCAATGGCGCGGCCCAGAAACTCATCCACTTCATCCTCAGGGTTTGCACTCTCCTGGGCATTCCTGGGGAGCAGGAGGCACAGGCATGAGACAGGCTGACCACAGGGGCACCGGCAGAGGCTGTTCCACTCACCCAGACTCTCAGAGAGGGCTAGCAGCCATCAACCACCAGCTCAATCAGGGCAGCAGGAGCTTAGACTGAGACCAGAAGTCTAAGCTGTGCTCTTAACAACTGCACAGATGAACAGAAAATTGCCCAAGTCTGGGACCTGGACCTTCAGGCTGAAGGGCCTTGTTGGCAATAGGCTTTTCTGACTCTGTTAACATACTATGTTAGCATAACAATGGGACCTACCATTGATGGTTTAATTGGACTTAACAGCTAACCGGCTCTGCTCTTCACCCTCTAGCTCTGCTATCTTCCTGAAAAGAAGGCAGAGATTGGCAGTGAGAGTTTCTGCCATTTTCTGCCACGGGGACTGTGGCCCACCTAGTTTCTTTCACCTGGCTCAGGGCACGCTTGAGAAGCAGGTTTCATAGACTTGAGTGCTGACCTTCAACACCCTGTTTCTCAGGGTGGAGCCCAGTCCCGGAGTGGAATTTCTGACAGTCCTGAGAACCAGAAGTGAAGGAGGGAGAAGAGGGCATTGCCTCGGGGCACTGGATGCCAGGCGCTGCTGACCAGTGGGTAAGGTCTGCACTTTCCTGAAGGAGCCGTGTGTGCGCACAGGTGCATGTGCGTGTCACGAAGATAAAATGGGCAATGCTAAGGCCCAGTCCTGCTGGGCTGCCCTGGCCTGTCTGGGGCTGCTGCTGACCACCTGGCGGCTAGGGTGGGCTCCATTCACTCTCAGCTAAGACTGCAAGAGGGGTCATTTTCCATGGGGACTGGGGAAACCGAGTGATAAGGTGGATTATGAGCTACCCCCCAGAACCAGGGAGCAGGAATAAGGAAGGGCATATTACTCACTTGTCCTTGGGGTCTTCAAAGCCCTAAAAGAGAAGGATAGAGAGAGAAAAAGAAGAGAATGAGAAAGGAGAGAACTGAAAGCTTAAGGGCTTTTACGAGGCTACAGCTCCTCTCCTCTTTACAGTCTCTCAAAGGCCGTGGACATAGAGAGGACTGACACTCAGCAGCTCCTTCCTTCCTTCCTTCACTTGGATAACACAGCTGGGTTGTCCCTAAGAGACAGGTGATGTGCTAGACACTGGGGCTGCCCAATACTTCGCTTCATCCACAGACACAATCCATGTGCCTAAGCTCTCCCTGTCCCCACGCTGGACTCCTTTCCCAAAGCTCTCCTCACCGTCTTCCTGCACCCTGGCCTCAGAGGGTCCCCTCTCAGTCCTGCCTCTTACTCAGATGGAAATCAGGAATTGCTGGGATGTGCAATCTCTGTCACATGTACACACTCATGCGTACCCACCTCCTCATGTACATCACACTGAGCACACACAAAATCTCGAGGAGTTCGCACATTTTGCACTCTAGTTACCTGCAACAGCTGTTTGGTATCTGAGAATCACTCCATTCTTGTAAGGTCAGGGGTGGTTGGGGACTCAGAGGGTAAGGACCCACCTGCCACGGGTTTGACTACTGTTCTATCAGAGGTGAGAGTGGGAAGGGCCCTTGCTGGCTGTCAAACTCAAAGAGCTCTTTATGAGTTCTGCAAAGGGAGAGATGAGTGTTGAGGTCACACCAGAGACGGCAGAATGAAGGCTTCCCCACCGTGGGGAGGGGTGGAATCTCAGAGGTGGTGCAGGAGGTGACAAGCAGCCTCAGGACATGCTGTTTAGATCAGCCTTGGGATGCCAGGACAAGGACAGAGGATGCCCCTTCCCTGGCAGCGTGGAGCACCCTGCTGGGCAAACAGAGTTTGGCAAACACTGGGTGAGCCCGAAATCCAAAGAACACACCGCTCTTCATTCCTCTAAAAACATGTTATGAAAATTCAAAAAGAGGGATTTACATTTCTCTCCATGAGCCAGGGCCACCAGGCACTGAAACAGATGCGAGGTCCTCGCAGCACAGAGGCTCTACCCCCAGCTGAGGGGTCCTGGGAGCCTCAGCGGCTCTGGGGTCACCTCCAAGTGACTGATTATGGGCTCTGAGCTCCTCCTGGACTGCCAGCAGAGCCCTGGACGGCCTGGCAGTTGTCTGCCCAGGCAAGCTGCACCGGTCTTGTTCTCTGAGAACAGCCAGGCCCTCCAGGCTGCAAAGTGGTCCCACATCGCCATCCCAGCCCTGGGCTGGAGGAGTGGATGTCACTCAAGTGAGTGCTCCTTTGGGGCGGGGATGGGGCAGGCCTGTGCCTGATGCTCCCAGGATCCCTTGGAGCACAGGCATGGCTATGCAGCAGAGAGATGGACAGGCGACCTCTCTGCGGAAGACCCCCTGCGTGGGACTGGCCCTCTCAGTTCCATCCCAGGAGCCAGCAAACATTTTACTATGGAACCGAGAACAACTGAGTTATATTACAAGTATGGTGGTCTCTATAATTCAAAAATAGACCAAAATGTGAATAAGCCTGTTCTGACCTTTCCTGATGCTCCCCTTGGTCCTCTGTGGAGGCTGGTGCTGGGGACCCATTTTTTCCTTCCTGAGCTCAGTGGGGGGCCAGGACCATCCTAACCACACTGCTTGCCATGTTGGTGTGGAGAGTTCAGAGCCAGGTGGGCATGGTGAATTGGTAACAGTACAGAAAACACACTGGTTCACATGGCGGGGGGCGGGCATTAAGAACAATGGAGCAGACTGGGCTCAGATCCCGTCACCTGCTTACTCTTAACAGTTCCAGGACAGCAGCTACCTGGCCTCTCCCAGTCCTCCTGCACCCCCTCCTCCAACACCCAGGCCCCCGTGCCATCCATTCCTAGGTTTGCTGAGAGGAGCTCAAGCCCACATGTCTTCCCACTGGCAACCTTTTTATTAATAAATAACTTTAAAGACTTATGACACTAGTGCCTAAGCCTCCACCGTTTTAAAAGCTCACTCACTGTTTTAAAAGCTCAGTAAAAGCTGGAAAAAGATTTAAAAGGCATTGCCGACTCCAAGTTCAAACCTTCTAACTGCTCTCAGTCACTACTGCGTGCTCCCCGCCCCCATCCCACCTTCAGTGGCCTGTTTCTCATAAAACTCATCCCAGCGTGGGCAGGTGGGGGTGAAACCTCGCCTTCTGCGGATCTCTCTCCGAGATTCCAGGCACACATAGCACCAAAAGCCCAGTGGCCCTCGCAGCAGCTATGGAGCCTGTCTCCATCCCCAGCCTAGAGATTCCCATTGGCCACACTGGAGTTGATGGCAGTCCCCTCAGGGGATACCCGGCCCAGCCAGGACGGGAGCCTCTGTTCCAACAGCCCTGTTCTTCTGCACTCCTTCCCCTCCCTGCTGGGCAAAGCGATAAACACCTTGGAGGAGACTTCCTGGCAGTCTTTTTCTCCAGAGACTGTCCCTTCTGCATGACAGCCCTGACTGTGAATTCTTCCGAAGTTCCTGTCCTAATGAGTAATACATCTGCCAACCCGGTGCTTATAGTCCAAACTAACTCCTTTAAGACTCCAAGATAACTAAAGATACGGCTTATATCAAATATCACCAAATAATAACTTTTCAAGGATTCTAAACAAAGAGAATCTCTCACCACCAGGCCCTGCCTCCCTGCTGGCTGCTTCCTGTTCTCCCCACCACCTCTCTGCCTTCCCCTCTTCCTCATCTACCTCCCCTACTCCTCAGCTTCCCCTCTGCCTCCTCAATGCCTCCTCTCTCTCAGCTCTCCTGCCCTTCTTTGCTGTCCCTGCTCTCCATCCTTCCCCCTTTACCCCTTATTTTTATTTGTGAGACAGGGTCTCGCTCTGTCCCCTAGGCTGGAGGGCAGTGGCGTGATCATGGCTCATTGCAGCCTCAACCTCCTGGGCTCAAGTGATCCTCCTGCCTCAGCCTCCCAAGCGGCTAGCACAGAAGGAGCATGCCACTATGCCCACCTAGTTTTCCCTTCTCCTTTTTATTGTTTGTGGAGACAGGGTCTCGCTGTGCTGCCCAGGCTGGTCTCAAACTCTTGACTGCCCTGACCATGTGGGTACAGAGCCTGCAGGAGACTATCAAAGGGCTGGGGTGATGATGGGGAGGGTCACCACCTGCTCTTTGCTTGGGGGAGGGAGGGTGGTGGCTGGAGCCCTTGGTGGCACTGACCAGGTCTGTGGACAGTCAAGTTGGGAGTCCTGGGAAAGGCCAGGTAGCTCCCATCTGCTCTCTGGTAACCCACGCCCCCCCCTCCAGCAGTGTCTCTACTGTCAGAATATTAAATGGGGGTCTTGGCTTAAATCACCTTTCCTGCTGTACATTTCCCTTAAACTTGTATCATCTGCTACTCATTGGCTAACAAGGAGCAGAGCAGCCAGGTCCCCAGCCTGTCTCCTCCTCCAGGCTCTCCTGGCTCTTGTCTGCTGACTCGGCTGGATTTCTGTGGAGTCCATCTCTGATCCCTTCTGCTGTAACCTCAGCCCAGTTTGCTCCATAGAGCCCAGACTTGGAGCTCTTTGTGCAACATGCCCCTCCTTCTTCACTAAGTGGCCACACAGACACACACACACACACACACCACACACACAGACACACACACACACAAACACACCACACGCACACAGACACACACACACACACCATCATTCGGCCCTTTCTCAGTGTGTCCCTGAGCTGAGCAGAACACACGAGGGGCAGAAGCCAAGCTCTCAGACAGAAGGAGAGAAAACACCACTGCAGTAACATGGCTTCTTGTCCTCTTTCCTCCTCTTCCCACCAGGAAGCATCTTCCTGTCATTGCTGCCAGAGCCCAGGCGGTGCATCCTGATTAACCTGTCCCGGTGTGTGCAGGGGGTGGAGCTGACACCTGACCATGGCCTCCCAACTTGCTCAGTCCTCATGTCCCCACTGGAAGGCTGGCATTCGTCGGGGGTGTTTCTCAGCACAGACGGCAAAGGGGACCACCCCCCTGGCACTTCCCAGAAAGCACTAGGATAGTTTCTGAGCAACTGAGCCAGAAGATGTGATTTCACTTGCCTGGAAAATGCAGGAAGTGCTGGAAGAGGGTATGTGGTGCCCACCCAACTCCTCAGGGCCTCACCAGACAGTGCCAAGAGACAGCTGGAGGCTGTGGCTGGCCGAGTCTAGCCAGACATGCCTGCTTCCAGGCTGTGCTGCAAGCTCTGCCAAAAGGGAGGGAGGATGCGGTGTTGCCTCTCTGTTCCAAAGCCTAACAAGGCATGCTACGGGGTGCTGGGGAGAGCTTGAGGCCAGAGGTAGGTGTCCTGACTCTAGTCCAAAGTTGGGGCAAACCTCACTTCCATTTCCTTCTCTGGCTCCCCAGATTCCCTTGGGCAACATGAGGCACCTGATGCAGCCTCGCACCCACAGAAGGCCCTAGCCTTGGAGAGTGTTGACTACCGACTGCCCCACCAGCCACTCACCATCCGCTTCATCTCCTTGGACACCTGGTTACCACCCAGGTGGTTGTAGAAGGGGCGCTCGGCCCCCCAGTGGGGTGGGTTGTGCCCGATGGAGTTGGTTCTCTGGCGGTTCATCTTGGCGATCATGGCCTTCTCTTCTTTCTGGGAGACCAACACAGACAGGTCAGCCTGTGGGCAGGGTCACCAAACAAGTCCAAGTGGGGAGTTCCTCATCCTCCCCAGAACGTGGTACCTGGCCAGCTAAGGGGCTAAGACAGCTGCCCTCTCCTCTCTGCATAGCCCTGGAGCCCAGAGCTCTGCCCAGATCCTGGAACTCCCCAGGCAGGCATCATGGATCCCTCCAAACTTCCTAACGCCAGCCCTGGTTGGCCCAGGTGGGAGTTGCAAAAGATGACGAGAGTTTGTCTTGTGAGAAAGTAAAGCGCTTGGGAACATCTGCCATTTGCAAGGAGTTCTCCCTGTAAGTTTGACTGTAAGATTCTAACCCAGGTGCCCTTCTCTCCTCTGGATGGCCTAGGTTCCCAAAGGCCTGAGCTGACGCACCCAGCTGCCTGCACTGTGCTTCCTCCCGCTACTCTGCGGGGCAGGGCGACCAGCGAAGGCTGAGCTTAGGTCTCCTAGGTAGCCATGCCAGCTCATGCTTGAGTCTCCCAATTTGGTCCCTGGCAGGCTGTGGCGTCACACTGGGCTTTGCTCATAGGCAAGGCAGGGCTCAGGGCAGGGTAGGGCTTCTAGCTACAGCCTCAAGGGTAGGTATGGCCTGATCTGAAGCGGGTGCCAGAGGAAGAGGAGACCTGTGATTGCAACCTCTGCTCAACTTCTCCAAAATATGCTCTAGCACAGAGGACACTGGGACACGCCCTGGTGCCCAGGAGGCCACTTCTAAAGAGGTTTGGGTCAGTGAAGTTATGAGATTCAAGAGCTGACAGGCATTGTATAAATACACAAACAGAGTCTCAGTCAGCTATCTACAGGCCAACATAGTCCCCAGGATCTCGTCTGTCTGCCTATCTGTCCATCTAAATGGGGGCAAGAGAGCTGGAGACCTGAGGCAACCCTTCCCTCTACTCCCTCGTCAGATAACGTGTGTGTCGGGGGACACAGCCTGCTTCACCTGACACTGCTGGTGGGGGTGCCTGTCACTGTCTGTCTCCATCTCATCTTTTTCAGACTGCTTGTCCAGCAAGAATAACCAAGAGCCAGAGAACTCAGGGTCTAGGGCAGGAAGCTGTGGGGGACCTTGTGACCCAGGCACCAAGAGGGGAGATGTGGAATAAGGGCCCAGAACACACAGGTCATTGGTAACTGTGGCCAAGGAACTGGCCAATGCTTACCAATGGGTCAAGGAAGCCATGAGGAGCTGTCCCCACAGTGCCCCGAATCCCCTGTCCTTCCTGGCATCTGTGGAGGGCCTGACACAGCTCCTGTGAAGGGCCAGGCAGCTAGGATCTGTCCCCTGGGGTGCTGCACGGTAGGATAAGGTGTCCCTCTGATATCCGTCTCAGCACAGGCACCTGCCTCCCTTTAAAAATCGCCTTTGCTGGCCAGATGCGGTGGCTCACGCCTGTAATCCCAGCACTTTGGGAGGCCGGGGCGGGTGGATCACGAGGTCAAGAGATCAAGAACATCCTGGTCAACATGGTGAAACCCCGTCTCTTCTAAAAATACAAAAAATTAGCTGGGCATGGTGGCGCATGCCTGTAATCCCAGCTACTCGGGAGGCTGAGGCAGGAGAATTGCCTGAACCCAGGAGGCAGAGGTTGCGGTGAGCCGAGATCGCACCATTGCACTCCAGCCTGGGTAACAAGAGCGAAACTCCGTCTCAAAAAAACAAATTGCCTTTGCTGTTGTCCAAGACTTTCTCTGTACTCTTCTCACAGCTTAATTTTGTCTTTTGTTTCACTTCTTAGGAAGAGAAATGGGGAAGCTTTTCTCTACCAAAGGGCACTGACTGACAGATAAATTCAACAGAAATACTCATAAGTAAAAGGCATTTTAGTTTAGGCAGAAATATAAAATGTTCTCTTCATTCGCTTTAAAAATTAAGAACATGGAACATGACATTACTAAAAATAGACACTGAAGTCTGCTAATAATTTAGCTTTTTATTTCGCCAAGTGTGGGCTGAGACAAAGGGGGAAGAAGAGAGACTAGAAAGGCAAAGGGGAAAACAGGTTCAGGAAACAAAGACACACAGGCACATGCGGAGATGGACCTGACACATGGATCAGAGAGGGAGAGACAAGGACGAGTGTCCACCCAAGGAAAAGCGAATGAAAAGGAGAGAGATGGAGATAACGCGTATGGTATCCACAGACTCCCTTGATGCTGATTTCCAGCTTGTGGACTTCTGATGTCTTGTTCCTAACTGATGTGAGGCCTGTTGCATTTTTGCACAGAAGCAATATGAAAAGCTTCCCTCTTTACCATGCTTTTTTTGCAAGGCCTAACTGTTGGGGTCCTTTTTAAGATGCAGGAACCACAGCTGCCTAAGAAATTGAATGACTTTACTCAAGGAAAGAGAAGGAAGCAGCAGGCCATCAAAATGTTCCTCCCTGGAAGGAAGCCCCTCAGCCCCCCGCCCCACAGTCCACGAACCCGCTTCTGGGTGCAGCGCAGGATGAGGAAGGTCTCAATACTGTGCTCCTTGAGGTAGGCGTTGCGCTCGCCCCCACAGCCCGGCTCCACCTCGTAGTCCCCATTCAGGTAGTTGAGTGTAGCCTTGGTGATGTGGATGCGTCTACAGAGGGGCAGGGATCAGGGTGGAGAGGGCAGAAAATGCAAAATAAGAATGTCCGCTCCCACAATAAACCAAACTGCAATTTGTGGATTCACCATGATTCAAACCCTAGGGCCCCATGCTCTGCTCAAGTCCTAACCCCAAGCTGGCATGGTACCCAGATTTACTATCAAGACAGCTCTCATGCCCACTGCAACCACATCATCTCACACTGAACATCCTGGCACAGACCGTTACATTAGCCTGCCTGGGATAATATGGCCTCCTATCTTACAAACTTTACAAACCTCTCACTTCTGCTCAGAAGCCAGCAACGGCTCCTGCTCGAGACAAAACAGAATCCAAATTCCCGAGCCTGGCACTCCTGCCTTCTGAACACAGGCGCTGTTTCTCCTAGCCATCCCTAAAAGGCCATCTGCTCTTCTCCCATTCCTTGGAAATGCAGTGTTTCCCACACCTGTGCCTTGCCTCGCTGTGTTCCTTCTGCCTAGCAGCGGGCTCTCCTCACCCCGCCTTCCTCACCCCTCCCAGTACTGCCTCCTTTATGGTCTGGCCATCCCAGAAACCATCCTTGCTTCCTCCCTCCCCTGGAACTCTGCCTACCACACCTCACCAGCCACCATCGTTAGGGTCAAGGCTCAGGGAAGGTTGACGATGCTCCCACCACTAGCCAACGGTGGCACAGGTGATTCAGCAAATAGACGAATTTCTACTTTTACTGTGCTCACCCCAGCACCACCCCCTTTAGGGGCTTGCTACCATTCCTGCCCACCCCACTCCACCCGGCCTCACCTCTGCAGGATGGTCACCCTGGGTGGGCTTGAGTGCCCCAAGCCACCCACAGCCTTCACTCACCCTGCCTTGCCACCAGCCTCCATGTGGTTGGCTAGCGTGACGTCGTTAGACCAGACGTCGAACTGCCACTTCCTGAGACCAAGGACACCGCAGTGTACTCGCCCGCTGTGAATTCCCACACGCATGTTCACGTTCACCCCCGTCACCTCCCGGACCAACCTGGGGATGGAGCAGGGGTAAGGCTGGGAGAAGGCTGGAGGCCAGGCACACAGGGTGGGGGTGAGGCTACAGGTGCATGGAAGATGAAGGTGCAGGAGTCAAAGAGCTTTCTCTCTCCCATCCAGCCCTAGAGTCCAAGAATGTTCAGCCTGAAGGGGACTGGGGCGGGCGGCAGGTGCAGTGGCTGTCACAGGGGCTTTTCCAGTCTTGGCCACAAGGTGGCGCAGTGCCACACTAAAACCAGAGCCCAGCTGCTTCCCCTCCAGGAGGGCACCTCTGGCCAACACTTCCCTGTCAATTAAATTGTGATTGGAAAAATGCAAACGCATGTTAGGCCGACTTGAATTAAACAGGGAAGTTACCACCACTCCAAACCCTATTTGTATAATGCTCTTGTGAGCAAGGGAGAAATGGCTTTTTGATTATCTGTTTATTGGATTTATCCAAACTGCTGCTTCCAAGATGTTAGCAGGATGATGGCAAAAGGTGGTTACCTGGGTTTCAAGGGTATGCCCTGCTCAGGAGAGGAGGGGAGCCTAGGTAGGCACAGGGGCTTAGGTGCTCCTTGCCCTAGAGGAAAGCTTGGTCCCAGCCCCATGCACTACGTATCCATATCTGGGGGCCCCCAGTAGATAGGGCAGGCCCTGTGCGCACTTGTAACTCCTCATGCTGGGTGAGCAGTGGAGGCAGAGTGGGAAGGAAGCCATACATCTCCAGGTGCATGTCTAGGGCCCATGGGAACCTGCCCAGTGTCTGTAGAAGAGGGTGCAGGTGCCAGGAAGTGGGGTAATGGATGAACAGAGATTGTACTTCCTAGGACTCTAGACCCTCCCTGACACCTGGGGCATAGGCACACTCAGCCAACCATGGGACCAGCAGTCTGACTTGGCCCAGTGGGTAAGACCACCACTGAGACTCCCTGCCCCCACCCCATGCCATCAGCAAGAGGCTGACACCCACTGCAGGGGAGACTTAGGTCATCCATCATTTCTCTTGTCCTGAATCAACTTGGTAAATACCTCCACTGCGGCAGAATACCTTTATGGAAATACTTTCCACCCACAATGCCTTTGGACACTTGCTTAGCTCAACGATAGCTCATTCTGTCTTTTTGGCTTAACTCCACACCCACCTCCTTCACGCAGACTCTCTTGATTCCCTCAATGGAATCAACTCTCCCCTTCTGGGCCCTCCTACGATAGTCTGCCCCTCTTACCTAGTGTCCACATGACATGCCTCGTATCTGAGCACTGGGAGTCCTCGTCTCTCCCTGAAGGCTCTGTGCTTCCAGGGAGATGGACTATCTAGCTCAGGCATGCCAGGGACACTGGGCAAGTGCTGTGAGTAGAAATGAGCCAAACCCATGGACCTGGCCGCCTTCCTGGACAGCCACTCCCACCCCTAACCTTGCCCTCTATGCCTTGTTCTCCGCCCCTGCCCAGGCGATTTCTAAAGCTCAAAGTCTCTGACTTGCTGCCTTGGCTGTCACATGATTGGACCACCCATGTTTTTCAGTGACCAGGGCTCCTGCTGTGACCAGTGACAGCCATGAACTGGCCAAAGTGTCTTTTTGCTATGGCTCACAGGAAGGGTGATGCTGTCTGAGCAGAACACCGGCATTTGAATCCGCCTGCCTAGCAGTAGCGCCCTGGGGAGTTGCCCGGCCCCTGTGAGCCCAACCTTTCCCAACTGGGAAGAAGTGGAACCAGCAGTTCAACACCTGGCTGGGTGTTTGTAGAAAACAGGAGGCCTGAAGCGCAAGGCCCTCACACGGCACAGGGTCCTCACACGGCACAGGGTCCTCACACGGCACAGGGCTCTCACACGGCACAGGGTCCTCACACGGCACAGGGCTCTCACACGGCACAGGGCCCTCACACGGCACAGGGTCCTCACACAGCACAGGGCCCTCACACGGCACAGGGTCCTCACACGGCACAGGGCCCTCACACGGCACAGGGCCCTCACACGGCCGCCAGCCTCTCCTCCACTCCTGGAGTCTGCAGAGCCCTCCCTTTCCATGCACTTCCTCTGGGAAAAGCTGCCTGGACTGCTGTAGCAAAAGGGAACCCTGGCACACGGCAGCCATCAGCCTGGATGGGCACCTTTGGGAGATGGTTTCACCCCACTGTTTCCCTGCCTCCAATCAGTCAGCTGGCAGGTCAGTCAGCTGCTCGGGCTGTGGACAGTCCCAGGGAGGTAGATGGCACCCGAGGGCCGGCACTTACGAGATGGCCTCGATCATGTCCATGCCCATCTCCACACAGCAGTGGGCATGGTCAGCCCTCGCTTCAGGCAGCCCCGAGACGCAGTAATAACAATCCCCGAGGATCTTAATACGTAAACAGTGATTCTCCTGGAAAGCAGATTAATTTTACAAATTAAAAATAGTAGGAAAGAGAAGTGGGAGGGAAAGAAATGAGAGGCAAGCAGATTCACCCCATGCCTGGAATAACTTGCCTTTTAGGGCAGTGAGCACAGGCCCACACTGGAACTCAGCATGGTCCCGGGACAGGCTTATCAGGAGCCGTGGGGAGGAAGGGATGGTGGGGAGGGAGGGAGGGTGGGGATGGAGGGAGGGGTTGGGACGCCCCGAGAGGCATTTAGCCTCCCAGGCTCAGGAGCTCACTTTTAAAGATCCACTCCAGAGCCCCAAGAGGAATCTGGCTGGTGGAAGTGCGGCTCAGCCAGCAGGGTGGCCTTGTCAGCTTAAGGAAGGCCCCAAACTGCAGTACAAGGGTCTCTGGTCCCCTCCATGCCACAGGAGTCACTCTAATTCATGGCCTGAGATTCTATGGAAAGTTGTGTGATTGTCCTCCTTTTACAAAAAGACTGAAGCAGGCAGAAATGGGCTTTAGCCACAAGCTCACTCTCAATCTGTCTGAGATTTTTATCAAAAGAGTTTTGCTAAACTACCAAGCACATGAGTGTCAAGAAGTCAACAGAGCTGCTGCTGAGTGACAGGTGCCACAGGGCCACCCTCAATCCACGTCACATTTTGATGGAATATCACTACTCATCAATTATGAGCGGTCCAACTCCGGCTCCCAAAGGTAGTTGGGACACAGGGATTCAAGTGCTCGTGTGGCCTGGACTTGTTTGAGACCCAGGTGCCAACCAGATACTCATTCACCTCATTCAGTTCAGTGATAAACCCACAGGTGAGTATCTGCCCCATCATTGAAGCCCCAGAGGCCCTGGCACTGGCCCCGATGGCACCAGCCTCTCATCAATAACCTGGCCTGGCATCATCCTTTGTGGGCAAAGGGGAATGTGTCCACCTGTCAGTGTCCATTGACATGTAATCAGTCTTCAAAGGCCTGGAGCTGGGAAAGGATGGAGGGGGGTGAACAGGGGCCTAAAGAATGAACATGTCGTTCCCCACTCTCTGCCATGGAGTGTTACTTCCAATTTATTCAAACACTGAATGCCTCTAGGAAAAGGCACACAGCTGCCTTCAGACCAGCTGGGGATTCAGGCTCATTCTCTTATCAGTTTGGACAATCTCATCAGGAATGTGGCTTGATGGCACCGAATGTGCCCCAGACAAACAGCAATTCCCCTGGGGGTTTGGGCAGTGTGGCCGGCAGGCCTCACCACTCACTTCTACAGTGTCGTGGAGCACTCAGCCTTGTGGTCAGCGACAGCGATGAAAGCAGCTCTAGCTGAGTGTCCCCAGGACCCACGTGGGGCGTGAGGACACAGCCACAGCCTGAGGGGGCCCCTCTGTCCATCACCAGCAGGCTCTACCCATCACCAGCAGGCTCTGCCCATCACCAGCAGGCTCTGCCCAGCAGGGTAGAACCAGGCACAAGCCCATCCCTGGGGTTTAGCAGTTCCTCGACCACAGCAGCCACCCTCAACAGCCCAGGTGAGGCCACCCCCAGCCCCAGCTCAGGGCGACTCACTGCGGCCAGCTTGTCAAAGCGTGCGAAGAGCTCGTTGAGGGTCATGACCAGTTCCTGTGCAGTGCACTGGGATGCCAGGCTGGTGAAACCCTCAATGTCAGCAAACAGGATGCTGGGGAGAGAGGCGGAGGAGGAAGACCCTGCTATAGGCTGAATCTTTGTGTTTCCCAAATTCATACCTGACGTCTTTTTTTTCCTAAGAGGAGGTCTTGCTCTGTTGCCCAGGCTAGAGTGCAGTGGTGTGATCATGGCTCACTGCAGGCTCGACTTCTTAGGCTCAAGGGATCCTTTAGCCTCAGTCTCCCAAACAGTTGGGACTACAAGTGTGGGCCACCCCACCTGGCTAATTTGTTTGTTTTGGTAGAGACAGGGTCTCGCTCTGTTGCCTAAGCACATCTCAAACTCCTGGGCTCAAGCAATCCACCCACCTTGGCCTCCCCAAATGCTGGGAATACAGCCATGAGCCACCCGCATTGAATCCTAATGCCCAATGTGACAGTATTAGGTGGGGCCTTTGAAAGATAATGAGGTCACAAGGGTGGAGCCCTCACGAATGGGATTAGTGCCTTTTTAAAAAGAGACACAAGAGCTTGCTTCCTCGATTTCTGCTTGCCACCGCATGACAATATGAGAAGGTAGCCATCTGCGACCTGAAAGAGGGCCCTTGCCAGACCCCAATCATGCTGGCTCCCTGATCTTGGACTTCCAGCCTCCAGAACAGTGAGAAATACATTCTGTTGTCTGTAAGTCCCTGGTCTTCAGCATTCTCTTAGAGCAGCCTCAACAGGCCAAGCCGGACCTCCATGAGGGAGGAGAGGCAGTGCTTGCGGCCAGGGCCCAGCCTGGGGCTCCTCGTGTCTAAGAGGGCTGCAGGCCAGCAAGAGTCCTGAGGACTCCACATGGCTGCTGGGCAGAGGACAAAGAGGCTCCAGCATGGAGGGCCAAGGACACGGCCTCTCCCTGCTGCTACCCTCCTTCTGTGCTCTACCTGCACCCTCCCCTGGCCCAGGAGGAAGGCAGGGGAGGGGCGTAAGGCCTGCGTCTGTGCCTCGGAAGGGTGCCAACAAGGGGCTAGGCCCCAACTCTCAGCCATCTCTCAGGCCTGTACCTGTGTGGCCTCTGAGCACACCCTGAGAGCACTGGGCCTGCTCCTGGGAGGAGAAGCTTTTTATGCCTCTGTTCTGGAAGGAGTTTCATGCCAGAATGATGGTCCTGCAAACTCTCACTTCCCAGTCCCACACAGAGGCGAATCCAGCCCCAAGCCCTCCATCCTGAGGGAGTCCTGCAAACTCTCACTTCCCAGTCCCACACAGAGGGGAATCCAGCCCCAAGCCCTCCATCCTGAGGGAGTCCTGCAAACTCTCACTTTCCAGTCCCACACAGAGGGGAATCCAGCCCCAAGCCCTCCATCCTGAGGGAGTCCTGCAAACTCTCACTTCCCAGTCCCACACAGAGGGGAATCCAGCCCCAAGCCCTCCATCCTGAGGGAGTCCTGCAAACTCTCACTTCCCAGTCCCACACAGAGGGGAATCCAGCCCCAAGCCCTCCATCCTGAGGGAGTCCTGCAAACTCTCACTTACCAGTCCCACACAGAGGGGAATCCAGCCCCAAGCCCTCCATCCTGAGGGAGTCCTGCAAACTCTCACTTCCCAGTCCCACACAGAGGGGAATCCAGCCCCAAGCCCTCCATCCTGAGGGAGTCCTGCAAACTCTACAAGGAACAGAGTAAAAGGGGCCCAGGGAGGAGAAAGGAAGACACAGCCAGTCAGCATCCCTGGAAGCCCCAATTCCTCCCTCCCACTTCCTCAGTGCACCAGCTGGTGACAGATCTTCCGCCTGTCCCTGTGGCTTGTGTTCCCTAAATGGAAAACATTTTCCTTTTCCTTTGAAACGGGAGAGAAGACCCGAGGACCAGAACCCCAGGACCAGAATCTGTAAGGGCCCCTAAAGTTATTTTTCTTAAAAGGGACACAAAAATCTAAAAACTGCCATGTACTGAGGTGCTCCTGATAGGCACTAAGCAGAGGCTTCCAACATATCATCTCACTGAGTCTGCGCAACAGCCCTGCAAGCAAGAGGTCAGTGTCCCCATTTCACAGATGGGGGCCAAGTCTCAGAGCAGCCAGAGACAGTGGAGTGGCAGGATTCTGCCTCCAAGGCCTGTGCTCCTTTCGAGGCACCTCAGGACTCCTGAGGCTCCAGAACCCACAGTCTCAGTTTTAAAATTAATGATGTTGAACTAAACATATTTCGTCCTTTTATTCCAAAAATGTGTACCATAAGCATGCCTTTTAAATCAAATATCGGGCTCACGCCTGTAATCCCAGCACTTTGGGAGGCTGAAGCGGGTGGATCACTTGAGGTCAGGAGTTTGAGACCAACCTGGTCAACATGGCAAAACCCCATCTCTACTAAAAATACAAAAATTAGCTGGGCATGGTGGCGTGCAGCTGTAATCCCAGCTACTTGAGAGGATGAGGCAGGAGAATCACTTAAACTCAGAGACGGAGGTTTCAATGAACTGAGACAGAACCACTGCACTCCAGACTGGGTGACAGAGCGAGACCGTCTCAAAATAATAATAAAATAAATAAATCAAATATTGACAAATGATAATTGCATATATTTATGGGATGGGTGAAAGGTGATGTGATACCACATATCCACAGTGTGGAATGATTGATCAGGCTAATCAGCAAATCTGCCACCTCACATACTGCTCATTTATCCCTCCTGTCTAACTGGAGCATGGTACCCTGTGCTAAGCCTGTCTTTCTACCCCATGATTTGACATCCAAGGTTCTGGAGAGATTGTGCCTCCCAGGACAAGCCAGTTCCTAGAGACAGTAAACCACTTGCCTTAGGGTATGCCTTTCACACAGGAACCAACCAACCCAGAGCCCACTGCTGACAATGATCCCCTGCCCTCACCGCCCCAGGGATAGGCTCAGGCAACTTGGGACAGCCCCTATACACCAAGCCAACGCAATGGCATTATTCAAACCAGCCGGCAGCTGCCTCACTACCTTGCCCCACCCTTCCTTCCCACACAAACCACAATAAAGGCCCCTGCTCCCTCAGCCTCCTGACTGCCCTGTGCCTGTCCTGTGGTCCCTGAGTGGTATGTCTCCTCCTCGTGGGATGTGTGAGTGACAATCTTAACGGCAGTCCTCTCCCGATCTGTTGGCCTCACCATCATAACATCTATATTTTATTTATTTATTTATTTATTTTTGAGATGGAGTTTCGCTCTTGTTACCCGGGCTGGAGTGCAATGGCTCGATCTTGGCTCACCGCAACCTCTGCCTCCTGGATTCAGGCAATTCTCCTGCCTCAGCCTCCTGAGTAGCTGGGATTACAGGCACGTGCCACCATGCCCAGCTAATTTTTTGTACTTTTAGTATGGACGGGGTTTCACCATGTTGATTAGGATGGTCTCGATCTCTTGACCTCGTGATGCACCTGCCTTGGCCTCCCAAAGTGCTGGGACTACAGGTGTGAGCCACCGTGCCCAGCCAACATCTACATTTTAAAACAGTCAGACACCATTTTAAGCTCACAGAAGTATTACCTCATTAACACCTTACAACCACCCTGTCAGGAAATGAGGACACAGAAAAGCCACCTGCCCAAGGTCACACAGGCAACCTGGCTCCACACTTTAGGAGATGAACCAATTGAGATCATGCTGTGGGCCCCACAGACATCTTAAATGGGTAAAGGCACAGTCCAACGCCCTGGCACTGTAGATGGAACAGAGGGAGGTGGGAGGACCCGTGGGAGCTGCTGCTGTGGTCCCTGGCAGGTACAGGACCCCTCTGAGAGGGGTCACTCTCAGCAGGTGCTTGCCAGCTCACACGAAGAGAATCAGAGGGCCTGTGGAAACAGGCTGGGCCACCAGGGAATGTATCCTGAGGCTTCTGCCAGGCTGTTCCACCTTCCCAGGAGAAGCACAGAAGGGTACCCCCCAGCCACTGCTGTTTCCCCAAACCTGGCTCCTCTGGCCACTACAGTCCTAGCCTGTATCAGTCAAGGCAACTGTAAGAGGAAGGTCAGAAAGAGTGGGAGAAATGGGAACAGGGACAAGAGATGGAACAAATGAACAGAAGAGAAGAAAAAGTGAGGAGGCAGAGAAGAGAGGACAGGACCTGTCCTGCTAGGCCACGGGACTCAGGACAGCAGAGAGCTGCTCCAGCATGCAGAGCCGTGGATGGCCTCAGAAAATGAAAGGGAGTTTGGATTCTCCATAAGCTCTGATGTCGCCGTCTGGGGTGGCTGGTGGTCCCACCACCCTGCCCAGAGGGAGTCTATATAGGCGTGTGCATGCCGGGGGTAGGGCGCCTACACACCCCCATCCTGGCCCACTCTCTGCCTCCCAGGCGGCTGCCCCCTCCACCCAGGGAGAAGGTCTTTCCCACAGTTTGTGAAAGCATCCATCCCATAGTTGTCCTGGAAATTCTTCCTTATCTCTCAGGAAATCAAAACCAAGGAAAGCTGGGGCCCAGATTGGCTGCACATGAGTCAAGGCACATGTTCAGTGAGCGTCCTGTTGGCTAACACCAGCATTTCCAACACAAAGCCGGCAGGCAGCATGACCAGTGGCTGGTGCACCCCAGGACTGAGGCTATGCAGCAAAGGCCTGGCTTTGGAGACACCCCCAAGGTAGGAAGGAAAAAGTCCTCTAATCCGGCAGAGGCAGGACTGCCATTGAGCAGGGTAACCTGCAGCACCAGGCAGAGCAGAACTGGGCTCCTCTGCACTTGGGCCTCCTGTGCCTGCCTGGCTGACCCAGCCACTCAGTCAGGCCAGGCCTCTGCCTATCCGTGTACTGGGATGGCCAGGCCTGTGGTCAACTCCTCCACAGATGACCCCACCAGACTTGGCAAGCGCTTTCCTCCAGGGCAGCTCTTGTCACACTAGACCATGGTCCTGGGACTGAGCGTCCTGTAGAATCACCGAGCTCTTACCTGGAGACACTCCCTACTCCCAGCCCCCGATATTCTGACTTAATCAGTCTGGGGTGGGATCTGCTGTTGATTGCCTCTGTTCTGTTTTAGTTTCAGCTTCCCTGGTAACTGTACGCAGCCAGGCTTGAGAAGCACCGGGCTAGTT